ACAACTTCAATAGCATTTCCTCGAACCAAAGCAAAAACCCGTAAACGCCATCAAAATCCGCATACCTTGCTATCATGTCACGTACAATATTAAATTACCACATTATCGACTTTGAAACACATTTCTGGCCAAGAAAGGTGAAAGAATCCATCTGGATCAAAAGGATTAATCCCTCACTGAATAGGGACTCTGGTTACTCATTATCACCTATCTACGCTCCAGTGATCTCGGGACAACAGACAGCAAGAAACTGAGTACACAATCACTTGGCTTGAGAAAGTCCACAGGAGTGGATGAAAGCTTGCCCACTAATCTTCAGGTTGGTAGAAGCTTAAACTACATGTTATGATCACCCCAACCGATGAAAGTTTTCTGTAATATTAAATTATATTCAAATGCACTTTAATAACTGTATCTTACCTTCAACTGACAGTGTATCTAACTTTGGCTGAAGAATCCTCGCCTGCGATGAATCCGTTGCAATTTTGAAAAGGTGCAGATAGAAATCTTGTATTTCGAAATGTGAATGGGAATGTGATGAATGCGAGGTTTTGTTTCCGGCAGTTACAATTTGTCTGAGAAGAATTAGCTGTTGAGGAAATAGGCCTGGTATTCAAGTGGTTATTGTTGGAATGCTTTGCCAGTGCCGTATACCTAGGGTGACCGTAAGGTCAGAGCCAAATTCTTTAAATGCACATCAAAAATCTGTCAGATTTATCAAAAATCTGCCAAATTCCCCAGAATTACTCGAAATACACTATAAACACTTAAAATCACATGCATGCAGATTGGTAGTATTGCTCTAATTAAGATTCATATTACATAATAAACAATCTAGTCACATAAAGATGTTGTGAAAGTATTGGAAAATTTCGGGCAAAACGCGGATCCGGCCACGACGAAGTCCGTTTCCCAGTGAACCTCAGAACCTAGACTAGCCAACCTGTCCCATTATGCAAAGGTTTGTTTGAAAGTATTGAATTTTTTTTTAAAATAAAGGTTCACTTTTTTGTTCAAATTTGCTGTTTTTTCTGTCAAATAACCATTTTTGCAGAATTCTGCAAGAAAGCTGCCAAAAAAAATCCATTCTGTCAAATTTTCTGTCAAACTCGTTTTTTAACAAAAATTCTGTCAAAGTTAGCCGAAAATCGGCTAAAACGGTCACCCTGCGTATACCTAACCGGTTCAGACTGGATTCTGGATTTGATTGTAACGGCGTAAACCAGACTTTGCCCGTCTCGTTCCCATACCAACCAGCGATTGCAGGCGCGGAGTTCAATTTGTGACTATTTAGTCAACAGTGGTGGGAGTTCATGTCCACATGTAGATTCGTGCTTACAACGGCTTTAGCAACGGAAGTGTCTGTTTTCGCGCGCTTTGATCGTAATTTGAAGCATCGTTTTTATTGATAGATTTCAATCAACTTGACTGAGATTTAATTAGTAACATATAAGAAATTCAATATTCTTGAACAAAATGATGTTTCTGTAGCGTTTATTTGATCTTATCTTCCACAACGAAACATTTCCAAGTTTAAAACACTTTCGAAAACAAAATGTTTCGGACTTGACAAAAATGTGTGTTGTGAAATTTAGGCCTATTGAATTTCTCATGAAAGTTATTTCTTCTTGTCATCCAAAGTTGATCCATGTAAGTTTATCGATTGTAAATGAAAAATCCGCCGGATAAAATTATGTGGAAGGCCAATTTCAGTTTCAAACAAGTTTTCGCGCGAAATTGGCAAAATAAGAAATATAATAGCGTGAAAATCCAGAAACACATGATCAAAACAGAAAACCTTGCGTTTTATGTTTGACAAAACTTTGTCTTGCCATCCAGAGCTATTGGTTCCTCCGCATTTCGAAAATTGAAAACTGAAGTCGTCGGACGGATGCTTTCATGATACTTGCGCTGCCCCGAATACATCATGTACATGTAATCGTAAATGCATGTACATGTACATAGTATTCACATGAACATAAACATTTTGTACATTATAGCACACAAGCTTCCTCCAACTGCTACGATTTCGAGCCCAAGATGAAATTATATCTGACTGCAGTAAACCACCCGGATCGACATTTATAATACCGGAGTCTTATATGACCCATGCTCTACCAATAATTAGATACTCAAGGCGCTGGTAATTATGTCTATTTTTAAAGACAGGTAAATGAGGTTCACGAGAAAGATGTGAGACCCATTATGTGGCACCTTTATAAAAGTTGACAAGGTGCTGCGGCGCATATTGCAGCCACTGCCAGAAACACCGGGGCAACTTCCCTTTCTCTTATGGCGATAAGTGTTACTGGGTTATTTAACGTGCATTACACAACACGCGGGACCTGCGGCTTTACGTCCCATCCGAAGGACGGAGCAATAATGGTAAAGTGTCTTGCTCAAGAGCACAAGTACAATGTTCCCACGGTCAGGATTCGAACCCATGTACCACGGCACACAGGTCAAACACCGTAGCCACTGGACCACAGCACTCCACAACAAGAAAGCGGCGGGGACGGCGAGTGTACCTCAGGTATGGCATTGCTGCCGACAAGGCATATTGCTTCCGTAACTCGGCATCAGGCAAACAAAGAAAATGTTCCGGGAGTGGCGGGTTCTATTTTATTTATTTATTACATTTCTTTAACAAGTGTATATCCAAACATTCCTGGGGCATGTTCTTTGTTAATCTTGGCTCAAGACGCTAGTGATCGATAGTGGATCGTACATAGTGCGCCCTCTAATGGCACAACAACTTAGACCAGCACGCCTATACTCGCAATAACGTCTTGGCCATTTCGTGTCAGTGGTTTCACTTTTTCTTTATTTTCTCCCTAGGCTTTCCTATGGAACCAATCAGAGATCGAGAAATGGTTCAATGGCTCGCTTAACGGTTGTAAACATTCGCGCTATACGTGCGGTGATCAACATCACCAATCAGCGACCGAGAAATGGTTCAATGGGGAGGGCGCGACGGGGACGTCTCTATAGTCCGAAGTACCATTGGTCCGAAGTCCCATTGGTCCGACGGCCCCCTTGCTCTATACGTTCCATTGGTATAAACGTCCCATTGGTCCGAAGTCCCATTGGTCTGACGCCCCATAGGATAAGGGTTAGGGTCAGTCAACTTGAACAAGTGGAACTACACAGTATTATGTTTCGAACCAATGGGACTTCGGACAAATGGGACTTCGGACCAATGGGATTCGGACCAATGGGACTTCGGACCAATGGGACTTCGGACCAATGGGACTTCGGACCAATGGGACTTCGGACTATAGAGACGTCGCGACTACTGCGGCAAATGGGAACTGCTGTTTGGTTCGAATCTATACAGACGGTCTGATTTACATAAAATGGCCGCGCCCCCATTGCTACAAAATGACCAAGACGTTAGTGAGAGAAAGTAGAAAATCAATTATTCAAGGGCGCTACACGACGATGCAACTATCGCTATTGATCACTGACGTCTTGGGCCAAAACTAGTTCTTTGTTTGCCTGATGGCGAGTTAGGGAAGCACTTATCGGCAGCATATAAAGCCATATACTTGAGCTAGCCTACATCCACAGCTTTCGTGTGGCGACTCAGACAACTAGAGGGACTCAATTAGTCAGGGTAACTACATGGGCGTCGCGAGGGGGGGGGGGGGGGCAAGGGGGGCTGCTTGCCCCCTGACAATGTTGTAGTCGAGTCACCAACGTCGAGTCCGAGTCCCGAGTCACAAGCCTCTAGTCCGAGTCCGAGTCTCGAGTCACAAGCCTCGAGTCCGAGTCTGAGTCTCGAGTCACAAGCCTCGAGTCCGAGTCCGAGTCCCGAGTCACAAGCCTCGAGTCCGAGTCCGAGTGCGAGTCTCGAGTCACATGCAAGCCTCGAGTCCGTTCTGTCTTTTATGTAAATCCCAGTGTATATATAGTTTACCTTGTGTGTGTAAATGTTGTTTAGACCCAAAAGTGTTTCTTTTTAATTCCCATCCTTTAATAAATCATCCGCCATCCCTAATTCCTTCCATGTGCTCATCGTGCAGGCGCTAGGCGTGCGTGCGCGGCCCCTGGATACGATTTTCCGCGTAAAAAAGAATGCTTCGTTCGTCACACAAATACGTAACGTTATGGTTTTTTTCTTTTGATGAAAATACGTGACTCGAGTCACCAGTCACCAAGCTCGAGTCCGAGTCATCATGGTCGAGTCCGAGTCCGAGTTATATTCCAATGTGACTCGAGTCGAGTCTAAGTCAAGAAAAATGTGACTCGAGTCCAACTCGAGTCCGAGTCCTGGATCGAGTCCTACAACCCTGCCCCCTGGACAAGCCACAAAAAAGGAGGGGGGAAAAGGAAGAAAAAAAAGAGGCGGGAAGTCATATTGTTGTTAATTTAATGGGTTGGTGTGGGGGTTGGAAATGTCCCTGCCCACCCTCGAAACAAATGATACATCGGGAAAATGCTGGAAATTATAGGGTTTTTTTTGGGGGGGGGTTGCTTTGCTCCCCTTTAGAAAAAAATCCTGGCGACGCCCATGGGTATATAGCAGGCACGAGATCCATTAACAGTACATGTACATGTACCCCCACTTGTTGCGAATCTAGTTTGAGTGTCGTAAATCCCTTTGTGTTTTTATTCCTCCGTGGTGAAACATATCACGTGATTGAAGCAACATATGAATTGATTTGGGATGACCTCAAAATACTTAGACTGCCAAGGTCAATCGAAGCGACATCGCAGACTAAAATTTTTCATAAACTGGATGCGGTGCAGTTTATTTAAGGAAGCTGAACTACACTGAATAATTATGCGCATTTTGATCAGTGACTATACTTGATTGCCAAAAAACAGTTACTTAAAAATCTTCACCGAAGAGTCCAGTCAACTGGAGGCAATTGAATCAGTGTGATCTGAGTTTACTTGGTTCATGCTTGGTTGGACAACAGACAATACGAATCGCCCACGACTGGATCCGAAAAGCCTTTTGGGTTATAATAGCCCTATTGTGTTTGAAGCTGAAGGCCAGGCTTCTTCATTGCGTACTCATTGTGCAAAACGCCTAAGACTTTTGGCGAAGGCTTTGGACAGTACAGAGTACGGCGAAGAAACTTTCCGGAAAGGTATTTTGCACTTCCTTTAATCTTTGTGTATCTTAAAAACGATTATTGGCGAGAATTTGAGACTGAAAGTTGCATGAACCAGTTGCAGTTTTAACTTAAACCTTTCCACCGGTGGTGACTTCTTGGAAGTCGGTCACGATGCTAATGGAGGAACAAACATCTTCTTTTTTTACGGATTCATAGGACACCCTGGAATGTCTATGCATTGAACCTCGGTAGTTAAACGTATACCAACAACGTGGCGGTGTTATTGATGTTGCAAGGTCATTTTGTGAAGATGGTACATGTGATGCGATCGAGCTTAATGAGTTGTTTGTCGGGAATTTTTATTTGGAGATACAGGCCGAAATAGCGCCACGTCATCACTTCATCACAACTCTTGGTGTTCTGACTTCCATAATTTTTTAACTAAAGATAGTATCAGCATGCAGTTTTCATAGCAGTAATGCTGAGATTGTGCTCTTTTCAAATCTGTAATAAAATTTGTTTTGAACAGGGTCGACAAAATGACTCATTTAGTTTGATCGCATCACATATGATCGTGTGATTTGACCTATCGCCATTTCAGCTATGATGTTGTCTTATTTTAGGAAATGTCATCTAGCCTATTGTGTGAATGGTGAAGCCATAATTGTAATAAGTCAGGTCATTTTGTGTGTTTGAACCCTCTTCTGATATGTTCGACCATAGAACAAGATTAAGAGACAGTGCACCGTCACTTGTAAATACCGCTAAGTCAAGTTGTTGGTGCTACGTATCGTATGAATCGAGTATTGCTTATTTTAATAAGCAATACTCGATTCAATACTCGCCAACAAGTGTTTAAAAACACTTGTTGGCGAGTAATGAGCGATAACCAACAAGCTATATCTTACTATGAACTATAGGGAAACTAAGAAAAAAATCGTAGATCATTTACGGGCCAATGGATATTTGACGCCCACATATTGGATTTGGATAAAGCAGAGGTAGGTAAGGGCATGGACTGACCGAATTTAGTGGCAGTGTTGGAGTTGAGAATTTTCCCGAGACCTGTCGAGCCCTCATTAATATTTTCATCAGTTTTGAGACAACCAATTCTATCAATTAGCCCATTTGCGCCATACATAATTATGATCAAAGAATACTGATAGTTTTAAAGACAACACTGACTGACTTCTGGTGAAAATGTTCGATTTTTGACTCAGAATCTCACCAAGATCTTGCGAGACCACTTTGAGATGCAGATTTCTCACTTACTTTTGATTTAAAGTCCAACTTTCACTGAAATGAAGCTAACTGTTTTCTGTGTCAAAGCCAAAATATTGTGAGATTTTTTTCCCATTTTATATTATCATAGCACTGTTTAGTGGGACATTCCTGGCCCGTTTGTTGCCATCGATTATGACAATAATTCGCCGAAGCCCTTTGCAAATATCTCCTTTTCACACCATTCAAAAAGCCGTGTCCGCACTGGACTTTTTTTTTTGGAAGGTTTTACCGAGACGATGGTAAAATGAGAAATGGTCAAATGTGACCACTGTCCGCACTTGGACTTTCGACACGGGAAAATTTACCCACACCGCGTGGGAGAAGTAACCGAGCTGTTACAGTGTCAGTATAATGACTCACCGTACACAGAAAACAAATTGCCGATCACATTTTCAGCCGCCGATACGCACAGTAATATTACACACGCCATTTTCATGCACAACATAATCGTTTACACGATATTATTTCATCTTGACACGCTAAATCTTGACGAAAAGGCCTATAATTCTGATGCATTTGTGATGCACGTCGTCGAAGCCTTCCCGCTGTACGATGTTCCGTGCGGCAGCAGTGCCATCAGTATTCGTTGGTTCCCATCGCATGCTTACAGAATCGACTACGGCCTACGTACGGTACCGGACCATGATGTTCTGTGCATGACTACAGTAGCGTATCAGGACGAATTTGGATCGTAGAAAATAACATACATCGGTGGAGAAAGAGAATTTCCGCAAATTAATTCTCAGAACGTGATCTCTCTTCTCTGTGTATATATTTGTCCGTTGAAATATATATTTTAACGAGATTTTACCGCTCGGACTTGATGATACACCGCAGCGTGTTTCTACAAAATGTTCGGCCACTGCACGTGCAGGTTCGTGCGGTCTCTGTATGCATAACAGGGCGCTCGGGCCGGATGTACGCTTTCCTGAGCCGCTTTTACCGACTCGCACTGTCCGCACTGGACTTATCGTCTCGGGAAAAGTGACCTGGTCAGTTTTCCTGGGCGCGTGGGAAGTTTTCCTGGGCAGCAGTTGGCCAGTAAAAGTAACCGCTGGACTCAGGAAAAGTAACCGAGAGGAAAACGTCCTATGCTGTCCGCGCTGGACTTAAAATGGGAAAAGTACCCATAGTCTCGGTTAGTTTGACCAAAAAAAGTCCAGTGCGGACAGGGTTTTTAAAAATTTGTCGTTTGAAAAGTCTTCATTGAGCGCATCGCTCAGATTTTGATCGTGTTAAACGGCACGAGTGGAGTGGGCAGGCACCTATTATTAACCCATCCATATATATAATTGGTCTCGTCATGCATGTCATGTGGATATCTGCGAGCCCGTAGAATCTGAAAAGCCATTTAAGTAAAAATCTACCTTGAAAATCATTTTAGCTGTCCGTGTCGTTGTACAGGAATAAAAGTACATGTATATTTCCTCATGCGAAATACTTTATGGAAACGACTGTTTGATACAAACATTTTAGATACTCCTAAATATGAACAGTTTATAGTTCTTAAAAATTGACGTGATTTAATAAGCACTGAATACTCAGTGATGCTGTACGAGGGCTTGTGATCGAGCTACACAGGCGCTCGGGTTGGACTCGAACCCACGACCACCTCCTGCTTACAAGTGCAGACGTCTTTCCTCTCGATCACCGCCGGAATTTATGCCAGCATGTGCTGGTTGGTTCGAACCCGATATGGCAACGGGGACCACAGTCAATCACTATTTGTGGCTTCACTTATCGGACAAGGATGTTAAGGGAAATGGGACCATGGATACTTTGACTACACAGTTTACTGATAGCTGACTCATTATTTCAAGAGCCACCTGAATATATATATTCTTTTCTTTTTTCACTCTCAACTTGTTTTCGCCAAACTTCAAGTAAACTATATCTAAACTCCACACAGTCGTTCTCTACACATAATTGAGCAAACTTATTATCATGTGAGATTGTTCTTATTATGCAAATATTTATCATAAAATGGCATTGTTAAGAATTCTGCTTTTTCAATTCTCTGAGTAGAAGCGTGTACAGTGATCCTGTTCGGTATTGATAGGTTATATTTTTTTAATGTCACAAAAAAAGCATTGCCTAAAATCCCATGCATTTTCATAGTCCAGCCTATTGTGAGAAAACCTTGAAATCAAATCGTTTAATCATTGGGTCCTCCTTCCATGCGATGGGAATACTTTGTGTAGGACTGTAGTCAGGATCATCCATCATTGTTGCAAGACGTACGGTAAAATACTCTTCAATAGATACTCTTTTCCGCGGAGCTCTCTGTCACAAGAAAGACATAAGTGGTGTGGATCGCGTGGGAACCACTCTGAGATTTGAATGGATATAAATAATTTTTCTTTTGTCCTCATTGTGTACACATCGATGGAAACGCCACGAATCGCTCCGTAGCCTGTAGGGGCCAGGGTCGGGGAGCGGGGGGAGGGGGGGGGGGTCGAACAACAACTCCAAATTTATTAGATCACGGTCCGTTTTTTAGCTTTCTATTTCTAATTATAGAACATAAAATAAAACAAAGTTATGATTGACTTTCACTGGTTCAATCCGTGTTTTATGCGAGCGTTTATATTTCGAGCAGTTGCGGCATTAGTGGCACACATTTAATGGTAAGAGTCCATTTTGACTTAAATTATCAATTCTTTCGTAAAACGACCAACCTCTTACACCAGGCTGGCCACGGATCTGACATTTAATCACCAAATTTCCAGTGATCTCATAAGAGTTTAATCAGACTCTAATTGCAGCCTAAAACACTTTGGAACCTGTCATTACAACCTGACGATTTCCGTGCCAGTTCAACCAATGGGTCCTTGTTGGCGTGAAAAGGAACATTATTATTTTATTTTTTTACTGATCTAGGGACACCGTCGACGTTGCACAGTCGACGCCAAACATTTCCCCGTGTAATAAAACTGTTTCACACCACCAGCAATAATAAACGTTTACCAAATCATTGGTAAACGTAGGGACGGCAATCCGATCACAAATTTCAGCAGTCCACACCTCATCATTTACCGTTCTCCGTACTGAAGAATACCCATTAAATACTACGAAACGCGGACGTTTTTCCACCTCGATCAATGATCGAAAACTTGCAACAGAGAGATGAGATTTGAAGGTTTGCGTGGTGGAAAGATACTAAGACAAGATAAGTTTGCGGTAGCACCATGTGGATAAATCTCTTTTGTGAGTATGTGTAGTTCTGAAAAGTACCGGAGGGACTCAACGTTTCGAACAGTATGCTCTGCCCGTCGTCAGGAGAATGAGGGATTCCAACGAAGATGCGATGTTATAAGGATGGGTGCGGTGAGGCGTGAGAAGGATGCAAACTGCAACAGACAAAAATCGCCATCAATTTCAGGGGGAAAAAAAGAGTTGACTTGTTCCTCATATTCAAGACAAAACAAATTTTGACTAAAAATAATGTGTCAGGCTTTACTCAAATGATTGAAATCTCATTTGTATTTGAATGCATGTGTGTAATCTGTAATTCTTACTCAGCTCAATAGCTCCCTATATCATGATCAGCTAGCTATAAACTTAGATGTGTTTTTTTTTTGTAAAAGACACCGATCTTCTGACAGCATGAAACAATTTCCGGGGTTTTTTTTGCTTTTTTTCCAGATGAGTGGAAGAACATGCTCTTTTAAGAAATACTTCATTGGTGTGTCAAATTTGATTGCTTTTTAAGAAAAAAATCATGGATCCAGGTCACTTTCTTTATGACTCACCCAGCCTGTATGTATTGAAGGTTGAGCGCGCAAAATGTACATTAATTTTGTAGCATGAGCAGCGTCCCTATAGAGTCACGTGGTGTCCAGCACTCCCTCATACTACCCTTCCCCTGCTTTTCGAATTTCCACCGCTGGGCAATTTTAAAATGTTGCCGTATGGTCATCCCCCCACTCGCCCACACGGATTTACGATAACAATTCATTTCAAAGTGTTTTATTTTACTAACAAGTTACCGGTACAACTTCTGGGCTATCGTACGTGACACTAAGCGGAACAAATAATAAGAAGGTCAAGCGAGTTCACGTACACGACAACAAAATATTAAGTAATTGTCTATCTGATTACAACGTATGAACATGATTGATCGTTTTGTTCAAGACAAGAGTTATAGATGAAAAAACACCAGATGACGTCATCATGATGTCAGAGTAATATACACTATTCGGGATGTGATTCGATTATGTTGAAAGTTCATACCATAAATCGTTTAGGAGAAAACCCGCGGAGAATTATTGTCCGGAAAAAAAGAGAGATTTATCAGACCGATTTCAAACAGTGGCCGGGTTGTATGTGCCCGACTCCACTCAACAAAGAAGATTTATCAGAACAATTCCCGACCACTCAATAATAATCCTGGCACGGTCATTGATGCTCAGTAAAAAGGCTTCAAGCTCGTGGAAATCGAAGGGTTTACGTATCGTAGCCTAAATGTTCTCATTTTTCCAATTCAGGTAAGTTGACGACATGGGGCCGGGGACGCGTTCTGAGGCCGCTCGCACAGTCATGGAGTCGTTGCATGTAGTGACGGTAGAACCTATTATGTTCGTCCTGTCAATGACGAACTACATGCGGACGCCCGCCAGCCAACTTCTAGTCCTGCACAAAGTCTGTATCCAGAGCTACAACGACACGGTTTGTGGAGATGTAGACGAGAAATCGGCTGCTGTTGAGAACGACGTTCAGGCAAACGCAGCGCACTGGAATTTCCTCCTCAAGATGGCCCTGTTCATCCCAGGGGCCATAGTGTCGTCCTTGTACGGTCCCTTGAGCGATCGTTTGGGAAGGCGCATGTTCCTGATCATCCCATCCTTGGGCAGCATTCTGGGAGCTGTGAGCTTCCTCTTCCAGACTTACTTCCCAATGATGCCGCTGGATTATCTGATCGCCAGCGAAATCGCTGTGGGGCTGTCTGGGAACGTCGTCACCGCTTACATCATTGCCAAGAGCTACCTGTGTGACGTGACGGATGGCACTAACCGAACCAAGCGACTTGGAGTGATGAAGGCTATGTCTCACATCGGAGGTCCTATCGGGGCATTCCTCTCCGGTGTCCTGATTGACATGAAAGGCTTCGCCCCTGTCTACTTCATACTCGCTGGTATCCACGTCCTCGTTGTGCTCTACGTTGTGTTCTGGCTGGAGGAGACCGTGGATTATGAGTCGGACCAGGAGCTGAGCAGTGGGGGCGACGAAGATGACACTAGTGAGGACGAGGAGAGGGCTGAAGATGAAGAAATCGAGACGAAAGGGAAAGAGGAGCCTCAAGCTGGACAGGAAAAAGTGGAGAAAGAGGGAGAGGCAGACGACGGCAAAAGAGAAAGATTTTGGGGTGAAACCCGTGACTCCATCAGGCAATCTTTCAGGGAGGTGTGGAAGAGCTTGAGAAGCATGCTTCTGGTCTGCTTCCGAGAGAGACTTGGATGCAGACGCAAATACCTCCTGCTGGCTATGCTCATTGGTATCATCCATAACATTTGCTCTACAGGTTAGTGCTGCGCCCACTTTTCTTTTAAGTGGTGTAGTTTCAAAGCAAGGCGTATGTCGTAGGCACATGGTCTCGAAAGGTTTAAATGGTGGGGCCAAGTCACACTAAGCAATTATTTTCACATGCAAACAATATGGAGGCAAGCCAAAGAAACCTCCGGGAAAAACGAAGTAGATTCTAACAGTTTCTTGAAATACAAGCTCAAGTTCTGGAAACAAAACAAAGGGAGGGGGTTGATCTTTCGCACTTTTTTTTTATTGAAGGGGGTACTGCCTTTAAAATGGAAGATGGAGGTTCTCGATACACATTGCATCAGAGATATAGATTGGAAATGAACAGTAATTCTGCCCATGGGCTTAGCTGATTAAAGTTTAAAACCGCAAGCGAATAAGCACAGTTGTACACTCTTTCTCTTTTATGACCTCAGCCAAGACCGTACCAGGTAGCCCATAGTAGATGATGTGGCCTCAGTAATCCCCAAAAAAGGTCTACACCTCTAAATTGTGTCCAGTGTCTTGGAACTTTGAGAACGTGTGGAGAACGCAAAGGGGAGGTTAATAATTAACCCCAAATTCCTATCACTTAATGCAATTATATGTTGGATGTGTTTCCTTTACTAAAGGACTTTTCGAGAAAAAAAATAAAGTAGCTTTTATGTGTCAGTTCATAATACGATGTAAACTCAGTGCCAGGAAACGTGGTACACATCTTTCCATGTCTCGTTTGGCCTATTCATCAGAATAAACACAGGCTATATATATTTTCATCATTCTTTTTTGATGAGAAAAACATCAGAGTGTTTATGTTGTATTTTTCGTTCTCCTTTCACTTTGATCGTGCACAGCCGAAATGGACCTGATTGTCTTATACACGAAGCATTCTCCGCTGAATTGGACCGCCACGACCATCGGTGTTTTCATCAGCGTTCGAACCGCTCTGAAAGCAGCCACCTTGGTCTTGGGGTTACCTGCAATCTTTAAGGTAATACCCAGTCCACAGGGCATCAGAATAAAAATACCGCCCAAGATTAACAAGTCCCATTAGAAAAAGAAAAGAACGGAACTGAGACATTGAAAACACAAGGTATTTTTTAACTTGCATGATTTATTTAGTATCTTTTCAGGATTCAAAATAAAAATTCAAATTAAAAAAAAAAAGCTGTTGAGTTACTACGCAGTGCCTATTTTCGCTCTTGCTGGTGTAACTTACAGGTTGCCTAAATTTGTTTTGATAAATGGGTTGTAATTTGTTAACACGGTATTAAAACAAACTACAAAAGATATCATTTTGAATATGTAAAAATAATGTGATCGTCTTATTTGACCCTTTCTTTTAGATTGTGAAAAACCACTCGATGCAGTTAGATCTAGGTCTGACTTCCATAGGGATTATATCAACCTCAGCAGCTCTGACCATGATTGCATTCGCAAAATCCACTACGGTCATGATGATAGGTAAGCATTTGGTTTGATTTTGTTTTTCACATAGATTTTTGTCTTGCTGTTAAATAAAGGTATTTAAATAATTCAATATAAAGTCAGGTTTGACAAAATGTCTTCAATAATTTATCAGACCGAAAGAACAGACTAAATACACAAACGATAAAGCTTTTTTTGAAAATTAGAGTTCTTCCAAAAGTTTGGGACAGTGCCGCTGTACAGTTGGTCACCACTGGAAGCATCGTTCCAGCTATTGTTTATGGCACGGTTGTATTTAACAATGTTACCGCCATCACTGGGGGCCATCATGTATGTACAGGGACATTTGTGCTCAGACTGGTCTAGGCCCACACATAGAGCAAACTGAAGTTATGGTTTCATAATGAGGCCTATCATTCCTGCTATTCTGATCCATGAATCCAAGGGCTACGTATTAAACATGACTGAACATGAAAACCCACGTCTGAAACTAAAATACACGTCATGTGTTTCATTTTGTGTTTTGGCAATGTTCGTTTTGTAGCTGCCGCTGTTGGGATGTTAGTGAGCTTCCCTAGTGTTACCATAACGTCCATCAAATCCAAGTTAGTGGAACCTCAAGAATATGGTAAGTCAATCCCACTTCCCACGAGGGCTTTTTGTAATTAATGAAATGAAATTTCCATAAACACTTTATTCTCAATGTTGCCGAGTGATTGTGAGAAAAAAATCACTCAGATGGGACACGAACCCACGTCCTCCTGCTTACTAGCGCAGACGTCTAACCACTGCACCTGCGAGCTTGCTGGGGTCAGCTGGTTGAATTATATGGATCATAGAGCAAGGAACAGATTTTTTATCCACCTGACGCAAATTCCGTCTAATGATTAGAACTGAAATTTGCAATATTGATTTTTTTTAAAGCTCTGACAGGAGCTTGTACTTGTCACTAGGTGGTCGGTCTGTCTGTCTGTCCCCGGAAAAAAATTACCAAAAGTATGGTGTTCCATATGTGCCATCGGCGTCACATTTTTCGGCGTCGTATTTTTCAGCTCTGGCAGGGATCATTTTGATCGATTTCATGCATGACTTTCTTGCCAGACTTCTTGCAACACGGCCAGAGCGTATTGTGCTCTCGCACAAGATTCCCGTAGATGGATCTGGAATTTGTCCTGTTATAAAAAAAACCCATTAAATGGGACTGGAGAGGTGGTTTCTGTTTAAAAAAAACCACCACACCTCCCAGTTCAATCTACCTTTCGGATGACCGACTGACAATTTATTTCCGGTAAAACCATAAACGATAAATTGAGTTGTGGGTCATTAGTTTGGCAAAACTCTAAACTAAGCTATCTTCGGTCGTGACAAACGACAAACTATAGTATCGTCAAATGAAGACAAACGCAATAAAGGAAAGTGCTAAAACTGTGACTTTTTGTGTTTTCATCTCAGTAGTATGATAACTCACTCTTAACTTGTCTTCATTGAATTCTTATCACCACGCATGCAGGGTCGCTCTTTGCAGTAACAGCTTTGATTCAGACGCTTACCTCCGTAGCCAGTTCTGGTCTTTTCAACAATCTTTATGCTGCCTTGCTGCCAATCTGGCCCGGTCTGCCGTTCCTCGTAACAGTCGGTTTCTACGCATTGTCGCTTCTCCTCGTACTGTGAGTAACGTGTTCCTAACAGTATAGGCCTAACTATTTTAGACTGGCGTTCCAAATCGCGCCTAACTAAAATGTATTCTTGTAGAACGGCTAGAATTCGGTTTTAGAGTTGCCTCAGAATAAATTAGTTCGGTGCTACCCTGGAACGTCAGTCTGACGGATATGGTAGAGAACCAAGTTTTATTTGCCGCAAAACCAACCATCCTACAGTAATGGACATGCGGAGTTCCGTGGACTAATTTGAGGGCAACCAAAGTTCAATGGCCGTTAGAGCATAAAGGTGTGGAGGCTGGAAGGCTTACGTTAAATCAACCGTAACACCAGTCAACAGCTAGTCTACGTCTGTTTGTGAACAGAACTAATATTTATAGGTTTTTCCCGCTGTTTAGATGTTTAGGTTATTGTGCCTAGTCTAAACAGCGTGGTGTTACCTATAACCTTGATTTGTTTGAAAGTAAAGTAGTGCAGTTAAAACGTCAGCACCGTCAATAAGATTTAGGCCTATGTCGGTAAAAAAGCTTATATTTTGTTCATCTAAATTTGCATGTGTATGTATTTTGATCCCACAGACTTTACCAATGTGAATAACAAATCTAATAACACCCCCCGCCATTCAGGTACATATGGTACGACGTGAAAGTGCAATCTAAAGAAGAGGAATTGATGACTGGTAAGTACGACGTTAATGCCAGTGTGAATAAAGTAAGTCTGTCATGAGCCAATGTGGCTCATCAGGCGGGTGTTTATCTCTGGTTTCCTTGACATGAAACGACCAAGAACATTTCCATTCCTCCTGGGTGGGATGCCAGTCCATCGCAGGTTACTTCCCAGCTCCCGAGCTATTTATACTCCTGAGTGGAGAGAGACAAGTGGGGTGGAGTGGCTTGCCCAAGGACACAACATAATTAGGATTTGAGCCCCTGACCCTTGGAACACGAGTCCGAGCCCTAACCATGCACTAAGCATGCAACACTCCATTTTTGGACTGGCTACATAGTCATAGGACCATCATTCCCTTTCGAACATACAAAAAACCCATAAAATATCAATCAAAGTGACCACATAACGAAGTAAAAAGGAGTTATGGATAAAGAAGAGCACCCAGAAATTCTTAGATTGCCTGGGTTTGATTCCGCAGACCTTTGGGGACCGTATGGGACTCGAGGAATTGTCCTTTTCACAAATTTGCGGGCACGTAGGCCTACACGCTATCGGCAATCATGCATTGCACAACAAAATGTTGAGATGTAGATAATGTTGGCCAACAATGGTGGTGAAGACCCTCATCCGCAAATTTCCATGGACTTTTATTTTCGGGGAAATACGGCTACATTTTTGGAAACAGTGAATATCACCAATTTTTAGAGAGAACACATAATTGAACGTCTGTAAATAGATAAAAATGTAACTTGTGTTGTAAAGTGATATCACCCAAAAAGCTGCCACCGCTGCAATACTACAGGGGTGCATACCTTGCCAAAAATCACAATGAGCATTGTTCTCCTCATTTCATACCGACCAAACCCCCAGGCTGATGGCCTATAGATGAATATGCATCTAAACCAGAAATACAGTAACTGATTTATATTTCACAACCCCCCAAAAACCAGATGTTCAAGGTCGGGGGCCTAGGATGTAGAGGTAGTCTCCGAGTCCAGTGGTGGTAGTCAATAACTCTGGTGAATAAACTTGGCAACCAAGCGTTACCGCTAAACTGTCTGGGTTTTACCGACAATTGTGCTTTCCCTTTTGTGTTGTTACAGATCGTCACGGGCCCAAATACAAAGAACTAAAGAATATTGAAGATGGGAAGACGGATTAGCCACCTCGGGAAAATACCCAGTTGAGACCGCGGAGACAGAACATCATTGAGCTGCCCACTTTTGAGCAGTTCAAGGGAGCCATCACCGCCTAGATCATAGGAGCTGACTTATGACTTGCACCAACTACTATGTATATACCAGAGCGCCTTGCACATGTGAGACTAGCACACCACATGCAGTCCTCGTTAAGCTGCCGAAAAGGCTGTAAACGAGTAGCTGATGCATAGAAATAGAAGTAGAAGATGGGTTTCATAGACGATCGTCTTGAAAAGAAATGTCACGATTGTCTAGATGTTAAAAAACTCAGTTGATGGAAAAAGCCAGGTTGTTTAGATCCAATTGTTGACGAAATCGTGACCGACTGGTCCAAAGCACCAACCTTGACAGATAGATTCTTTTAGCCATAGAAAAGACATTTAGAAGGGGTGACACCTGAAATTGCTTTGGAAAAGGTGCCTACTTTGCATCAATATTTATTCACGTATTTGGGTACTATATTAGGGTTAACTCTATCAGAAATAATGATATCTCTTTTTTTTTTTGATTAACTGTTAAATTTGCACTCTATACCTACCGAAGCTATCGAACAATGCGTGCATGGCCGGCTTGGGCCATTCCAATGCAAACTTCTTCCAAACGCACGCACGCGGACATCCGGGAATTTTTTTTACATTGGCTTATCCAGCTCCCAGACCTTTGTTCTTGAAACTTCTTACGGGGTGCTGTGTGGTAACAAATAGCAACGGATGAAAACACACATACTGAAATGTGTATTCTTGTGGAGACATTTCTTTGATCTCGTGTAGTACAGTTTTCGAGTTTGAAAGTGAAGTTACAAAATGCTCTTATTTTAACCAGAATTAATTTCCTTAGCTGAAATTCGGACTTAATATCCCTTTTCTAAAACTCTTCCATTTGCAACAGATCAACCCACCTTGGAAATTTCTAGTTTTTGAGTAACTGAATCCATATCTATTTCGTGAAAATCTATAGAAATTGCCCTTTGGAGACGTATTCAATCTTTTTGTTCCCTATTGTGTGCACGTCTCCAGAGGGCACGGTGTATCAGATCTGGTGTACAAATGAATACATGTACATGTTTTCATCAGATGACGTCAGCCCGCCCCTACCTATAGGCCAGTTCGAGTAAGCCATCAATTCTATCACGAAGGCCCCTTCAATGGCGAAAGCATTGTGCTAGCTGCTCAGATAAATAATCCGTCGCGTGATAGCCTTGCTTTCTGAAATAGCGTGAACAATGGTTTCTCCATTTAACGGGGCCTCGTTAGTGCACACACGGATCCTACTACATCCGTGGTGTACATCACGTGCCCAGATTCGCCTGCACCGATTCCACTGTTGCGGATAAAAGTGGACTTTTGAAAATGTTGCCTGAAATTTGAGGTATAAAGGAAAAGTGTACAGATGTATGGTGCCAAATGTTATTAACGATTTTTAAACAAACATTACATTAAGCAATTGTACTTACATCGCTGCACTGTCTAGTTATTTTAAAATCTGAATTGTTATAGCTACAATTTCTTTTCTCAAGTATTAAGATTATTTTTCTAGATCATAATATAATCATATAATTGTATATGGCAACCTGAATGACAAAATATTGGGATTTCGTTGTTTTTAAAGATAAGTTCCAAATGATCAAGTTATGGCGAATAAGCTCCATTCATGTCACGGCCCAATTGTGTAAGTACAGCTACATGTGCAGGTTATTGGGTGTAAACTTTGTCCGCCTGTTTTAATGTAAGAAACTGGTCATAATAACAGATTTTCTTCTTGAATCGCTCGTTTAATTGTCAAGACACAATTTTGAGCAATTAACAAAATACAAAGAATGTACCAAAGTTCAATTATGGTACGTGAAATTTCAATTTAATGCGACTGTTTTTAAAACAAATTCGGAAAACACATCGTACGATCTTGGTCACATACAACATCGGTAAGCCCTGTCAAAAAGACAACGAAATTTCTAACGAAAAACACAAACAATATAAATTTTCAAAGAAATAGATACAGAACATGTCAAAGTTGTACCATTAACGAGAACAATATCACACTATATTGTCCTTTTTAATTCCAGTGGTCGTGTTGAAACTTGGCGTTTTAGCTTTTTTTCACTATCTCCCTCATCCGTCAATCGATTCAACTATAGTGATTTTTATGTTATAATTTTTCAGTTTACTGTGTTGTTTTTTTCTACTTCTTTCTCCTGTACTTTATTTTGAGTGGTGTAGTTTGTAATTTTCTGTTTTAACTTCTTTTTTTTTCGATACTATTTTAAATCTTTTAGATATTGTCCCTTTTATATATCTACATGTAATACCTGTAAATTGCATTCAATTTAATGCCTATTTTAACTGTAAATCACGTACAATTTGGCCTTTGGGCCATCACACGTGAGTTTTTTTTTTTTTTTTTTTTTTAAATAAACCAACATTATATATATTGAGGGAAAGCTACATTGTAATCTCATATTGATTTATTCTGGTCCTTTTTTGGCAACAAAGCAGGTTATCACTTGTTTCAGAGTTTATTAACATTTAAATGATTCTATGGTAAAGAGTAGGGATCATCATACTTTGTAGTTTTGCTCGTCAAAAATGAAGTCACTGCATAATTACATCGCTATATATAGAAACCTAATCAACATGTGAATAATATTTTGAACTGTACAACTGAAAAGTAATTTCACAACACAGCTGAGTAGCACAAGTACTTTTTGCAACAGAATCCTGTACATGGATACGAGAATAATTTTCAATTGGGTTTTCAGTCCCTGCCTGATTCCGTGGGTTTTCCATAAAATATCTTTCTGGGATTTTCCTCCCACCACTAAAACTGTAATTTCATTCTATATCTTCTATCAAGGAGCCCCACTGGAAACAAATCAAAAGACTTTTGTGGACTACCCAGCCAACAGCTGAATGATAACAAACAAGCCGTAGTAAAGTGATTCATCCAGGCATACCGATTGGCAATAACATCTGCTTAATCAGGTTAAAGCGCAACAACACAACATAAATAACTTCAGTATACTACAATCCATTCAATTCCTATGGTATTTTCAAGTTCATAAATAAGTTGGCAAATTGTATTACAGGTAGAGCTCATCTGTTTTTAATCACCGAATTGAGTGCTTTAACAGTATGGTTGCTGAAATTGTACAGATTTCATTTCAACCAGCTGTCAGTTACTGAATACCTATCAATTAATGAATCTTTCTTCCATCTTTCAAATACTTTTCACTATTAACCAGTGCTGTCACAACTGTTAATTTTCAAGCATTTGAAAAATTGAGACCCAACTTTAAAACTTTAAAACTAAATTGAAATATACTGCAAGTTAAACTTGCGTGATCCCCTGGCATGCTGGCAGTATATATACAGTCAGGTAGCAGGCACACTTTTCAGTTGACCCAACCAAAACAACGACCTCATTTGACCCCTAGATGACCTTTGACCTCAAATTTCTCAAGTCATCTGAAGTCCTCCTACCCAAGATTATTTTAAGACTTTTCATATGACAGCACTAAACAGTTAACCTAACCAACATGGAACACACGGACAGAAGGAATACACTATCGCAAGATCCCCTTCTCTTGCCTACAGCCAGGGGGATAAAAACAAAACAATAAATTGATTGTTACACTGTCTACCTTTTCCATGATGACCTTTTCATCTATAAACAAAACTGTCCTATAATGAAGCAGTTTAGACTGGTACCCTGAAATATTGTATGTTCTTGACTACAGGACAGGAACCAGTCCAGAAGTGGCTGATCATTCAACCTTGGCATAACATTACACCTTCATAAGTTATGAATTTTAGACACATATGTGCAACAATTTATACCGGCTTGAAGTGATCTTGACAAAGTAAAAGTTTTTCAGTCTTGACACTGTTATTCACACTTTTCCAACCCCGCTTCCACTTCTTACTTCAAGCGGTACAGCATCTTACGTTGCATGCGGTACTGAATTTCCCCTCTTCGCATCATCAGATGCAGAACCTTGTAGATGGAACGCTCGGGATATTTCTGTAAAATAACAGAGAGACAAGTGAGGACAAAATTTAGCATGCGAACAAGATCTGATAATTTTACTTCGGGATAATTGCTTACAGATGCCACACACAAGTATTTGCAAGACGTGGTAACCGTATAAAATTGTAATACTCCATGCAATCAAAAAGGAAGATTTAAACCGTTTCTACAAAAGTTGGAGCATACAAAACATGGTGCTGTCCAAATATTTTGACATTGAGTACTTACTTCAGAACAAGATCCCTTGCGTACAGAATTTTTGATCTCAAAAGGAAATCATCACATTAGACACGTGGAAGTGCAATTGAAATACCTAACTGGCCACTGACAACAGATTTTGACTTATATTGCGTGCCCACAAAGAAGCTACTGTCCATTGTGTCCATTACCCTAACCCTACATAAAGCTACAAAATACTACTAGTAGTAAACTGAGATACAGTATTTCAGTTTACAAGTGGGCACAGCACTCATAGTATTTTCTGTTGTTTGGTACCTGCATACATAATTTTTTTTGTAGCACTTTGTAGTATGTGTTACTTAACCCCAAAGTTCATTTGGGGTAGGGTTAACTTCGATTGTGTCCAGTAACTACCAAAGATCGTGGGAAGGGTCGGGAAAACATGTCTCTTCTCCCCTAGGAAGCAAAGACCCACCTGGCGCAGGAAGTCTTGAATGATGCAGTGTTCCGAGACCTGTGAGCCGATAGCAAAGCGGCGTTTCAGTTGTTTCTCAATCCTGTTCAGTTCTTCTTGATCCTCCTGGGTTGTGAATCCTTCAACACCTAAAAAAAAAAAAAAAAAATTTAAAATAATTTAAAAAAAATATTTATAATAATATCTGCACGATATCTGTCTATTATAACCTTTTAAGGAAATATCACGGTCAAGGTATACCTTGCATTGCATTGTGGGACAGTTTGTGCTAAAATTGTGGAACGCTGTGGTCCAATGGTTACGGCGTTCGACTCGCGTGCCGTGGTGCGTGGGTTCGAATCCTGATGGGGAAACATGCATGGTACTTGTGTTCTTGGGCAAGGCACTTTACTACAATTGTCTCTCTCCACCCAGGAGTATAAATGGGTACCTGTGAAGGTCGAGACCAGAATGCGCTCATCTCGAGCTGCTGCAAAAAAAGGTGTAATGGCCTGACAAAAAGGGGGTAATAATTGTAAAGTGCTTTTAGACTGTTGGTATAATGCGCCTATCAACTGTCCCCCCCCCCCCCCCCCCCCCCCCCCCCCCCGGCTGCCCCACCCAAGACCGGGATTGTCTTGAAGGTATCTTTTGAAGTGACAAAATCCCCACCCCTCAGGCAAAATGTAAGTGACAATCTCCGACATTGTCTTTCCATGTACTACGCCAATGGGAACATGTTTTTAAGTGACAAAAATCCCCACCCTGGGGCATGAAAAACGTGACCGAATCCCAACATTTGATAGGTGCATAAAGCGTTATATAAGCACATTATTATTATTATTATTAATATAAAATTGGGATTTTATGCAGCACAAACTGACCCACAACACACTGCAACACATACTGCGCATTTTTGGTCTAATGGTTTCCATAAAACTGTCTAAACTGCATCGTTGGAGTCCCTGAGTGACTCACCTGATAGGTTGCCTGTCCTGGCTGCATCCAGGGTGGATACTTGGAAGAGACGCAGCGCCTCATCCACATGGGCCTCTGAGGCAAAAGGCTTCAACTGCATCTTGGCCAGGGACTCAGTGATGCGGATAATAGCCTCAAGTTGCCTGTTGGAGAAGACAAACATCTAACATTATTCTGTACTTGGGATTTTGTACTAACACTGTGAACATCCTTTACTTTCTTGCAAAGGTGAATGTTTGCTTTGAAGTTAAACCTCAACAGATGTTTTATGGATAGTTACCTGGGGTAGGCAGTAGAGAGGGCCAGGTGTTTTCTCATAGTTTACCTAGACCAGTGGTGGGTACATAATCTTTCAAATTTCATGAGTAACATCAACAAAGAGCAAAAACCCCACACCAAATTAACATCTCCCCAACTAGAAAACTTTTATGAACGCAGGATGTAACTTGTAAACTTTAAGAGATATACAATGTATACCCATGGAAAAAATGGCTTTCCCATGAAGGACTGCCATGGAAACTGACCTGACAGTGATTGGAATGTTGGTCTTCTTGTCTGTCTCCCTCTCGTGTTCTCGCGCTCCGCTGCGCATCAAAACGTAGCGGTTCTTCAGTTTCTCGGCTGCCCCTTCGGAGATGCGAGGTCCACACTTACTGCATGGGTCAGATATGTATAAAGTTAATTCAGACAATGACAATAAAAAGGAAATCTTCAATATCAAACTTAAGCTCACTTCACTGGCGGAAAGATTTCATTAATGCAAGCCAAATTTTTGTTGCAAAGCTAAAAAGGTATCCCATCAAAACATCATGTAGTGATTTTGTTTTATCAAAGCAGCGTTTTAATCATCAGCAAATATTAGTTCAAACAATTTAATATATGCTTAGCAGCTTCAAGAAACTGTAAACTGTTTAGCCAGATTTTAGAGTCAACCATAGAGCTATATCAAATTATTAGAGTGCTAGCCTCATTCCCGTGCGGAGATACTTTGAAGCCATCCTCGGCGCAGACATGTTGAGTTCATGTGCGGCATGTTTGTAGAACATAATAAAATCACACAGAATGGATTTCGGATAATGTACTCTAAATGTAGCGCGCAAGTACAACATACGCGGACAATGTAAGCGTGTTTTCTGTGAGTATGACCGTTAAAAAATGTCACGGCAAAACTCATCTGCAGCGCCTACGCGCATGCATTTATATAAGTTTGTGCAGAACAAAATCAAATGCTCATTTACAAATTGCGCATTTCAGTTTTGGGTGTAACGATCCACTTCGATAACGCACTGCCTGGTATAGAATACAAACGCAGAAATGCAATAGCCGTACTAAATTTCAAGTTTTCCATAGCACTCAGCAAGCTTCATTTGTACAGCGAGTTAGCAGTAATTTAATATAGCTCTGTTGAGTCAACACACAGTTGCAAAATTCAGGAAGGTATGGTCGATGTCTTTTAAGAAAACACACTGGCATGTCTACTGGCAATCTGACAGTATTTGTCCCGCCCCCTACTTTGACGACATTTTGTCCTTACTTTCTGACGTAGGAGATAAACTTCTTGAGGAAGTTGAGGGGAAGTTCTCCTTCCTGTGAAGGGCCTTGTTGAGCCATGCCTTGCGCTGTCATGTGGACGTTCATTACGTGCTTTGCGAGCCTCTGTATAAAAAAAGTAATTAATAATGTCAAGATCAGTGAAAAGGCATCTCCCGTTACCTACACCGTTTAAGACGGGAATTCAAGAGTTGCACCAAACCCAATTATTCTGAAGATCTCAATTAAGAACATCAAAAAGTTTGCCATTTGAAACAATTTGGAGCGACTGCGTCAAAGTATCGATTGTACCAGCCGTTTTAAAATTACTTCAGTGTCTAGTCAATAGAAAATGAAGACTAGTCACTAGAAAATTGTCACAAAACCAGTAACAAGTGGACTTTTTGAAAGTTGACAATTCGTCGCATTTTTTTCCATAATGGACGAACAGGTAGCACCGCGCCTTTTCCATACTGGGGAACAGGTATACACAATTGTATACCTGTTCGCCGGTTTGGAAAAAGGCGCGGTGGTACCTGTTCGCCAGTATGGAAAAACGTGACGAATTGATATGAGAGAAAAAAAAAAATCTTTCATATCACAGCTATCTCATCTGTAACCACATTTGAAAAACATTAAATCCCTCCACCAATATTGTTGTGTCAGTGCAGATCTTTGTCCTCCACATTAAACTATGTCTTACCATGTCTTTTTCCTCATCATGCTCATCCTTGACAATGAAGATCATATCAAAACGCGACAGAATGGTAGGCATGAAGTCAATGTTCTGAGGGAAAAAAAAGGTCAAGGCAAATTTTAAAATCATGTGGAAGATCGACCACCCAACTTCCCATTAGATTCATGCACAACTAACCCTCGAGTAAATTCCTGATAGACATTGATTTTCACGGGAATTGGAGGACCAGCCTGTTGCTCTCTGACCGAGTGAGTCACTAGAAGACTGCGTCGCTGACTAATGCCTAGTTTCCATATCGACGTATGAAATGCAGAGAGCAACGCAAACAAGACCCAAACTGCAACGCAGACATATGGAAACATTTCATGTGGAAATATCAATGAAAACCCAGACAGATGCAAACTATCTTGCAGACGACCGGTTGCATACAGTTCCGCGCAGTCTGCATAAGCTTAACATCAATATGGAAACTAGGCTTACATAACTCATGAGTATATGTAATGTTCTAAACTGAGGCATTCAGTTCAAACTTGAGGTGATTCTAAATTGTGTCAACCAGCGAAATATGTTCTCTCTAGCCTGGTCGCTTTCCCTTTTTTTTGATGTAAAAAAAAGGAAAAAGAATATGTATAGGGTACAGTAATAGTAAAAAAGATTACTTGTAGCTTATTGGCACAAATAAACACATGCTTACATCGTCTCCCTTAGTGTCATCCCAGCGTCCGAACACCGAATTGGCCGCGGCCAGGACCGAAGCCCTCGAGTTGAGCGTGGTAGTGATGCCTGCCTTGGCAATGGAGATGGTCTGTTGCTCCATGGCCTCATGGATAGCCACGCGATCGTCCTCTCGCATCTTGTCAAATTCGTCGATGCAGACCACGCCCCCGTCAGCCAAGACCATGGCCCCGCCCTCCATTATGAAATTCCGCTGTCATAAAAAAAATAATAATACTTTTTTTAAAAAGGATATTAAAAGAAATGGTCCACAATACACTTTCTTTTCCCCAAGTCATAAAAGATGACGTGTTTCATGCATTAGAAGACCTCAGAGATTTGTTTCTAGATGCGTCAGTTGGTAACTGGGGTAGTTGAGTGCATCGTAAGTTAGGTCACAAGTAAAGTCCATTCACAAGTTAAGCCACAAGAACGACAGATTAAAAGTATACAAGACATGTCATTGACACACTTCATCTCTATAGCGGATCTTCAAAAAATATTCAGAATTGATTTCTCCTCAAAACATTTTTTTCTTCTTGCATTTTGTAACAGGTTGATGACGTTGTCACTACCTTTGGTGAAGAACAAAAGTGGTTTTCAAAATTCTCGCCAACCATTGGCAATGTTGCTGTCCGTTTTCAAAATTACTTAGATTAGGCCAGATTGGGAGGGGGCAGGTGCGCCATCAGACTAGGGCTGTGCATTTACGGGGAGAACGGGAATCGGGTATGCAATTGAAAAAACTTGGGAACTTCAAAATATAAATTTCGGCAGTTGCTTTTCAGATTGTTCAGAAAGGTCCTGACAATACTGCAACATCGGTGCGTCAATACAGCAAGATACAAGTGTGTACAGTGAGCCCTTTAGCTTTACGGTGTAAATTTCATTTTAGCAAGCATCATAAATGTGAATCTGTTTTGTTTTTCCATGTATAGTAGCCTGGTTTTCATTTTATTTCCCATTCATAAATACCTCAGACAGTTTAGCTATTCCTATTGGTCGAGAGCCCGTCACGTGGCCGGTCTTAAACGGATGATAAAGACATGGCTAGCTGGTCTTAAACACTTTTCCAGTGTCACAATAAAATGTGGACTCCTAAAAATCCAGTGCCTCTTAACGTTTCATTGGTTGAACGTTCACAATCCTCACGTAGGCATGCGCAACACTACCCGTGAGTCAGAATTTTACAGTTCAAAACGCATTCAAAACGCAACGCCCCAGGTGCGTTCTGCGCGACATTGCGCAGAACATGCTACGCGCGCGCGCGTCAATCTCCATAAAAGGGTTGTTTACATCTTACTCGCCAGCTGAACACTCCATTATTTTGCTAGAGGGATGTTTCAAAAAGCATGAAGTGAACTAGTTGAACAAAATCGGGATTTTTCAACGAATTATTTGATATTTTTTTACCGAAAAGGTATTTATGAATGGGAATAAATATGTGCTCGGTCGGTTTTTATCACTCTGTTTAAGACCGCTTAGAGTCTGGGTGCTGATAGCACCCAGACTCTCAGCGGTCTTAAACAGAGTGATAAAAACCTCCAGAGCACACATTTATTCCCTTATAAATGACATTTATAAATGACATTTAAACCTTTCTTCTTTCATTGTCTGAGAAGTTACTAACTAAATTGTAAAGTTGGTTAAGGGTACCGATCTCATAATCTGGAACCAGTTCCTGACATCAGCGGTCGGGTACTCAGGTACCCAGTTCCTATGCACAGTCCTACGTCAGACACGACTTTCCCTGACTTGTTAATTTTAATAACTGATCTCTTGTTTTGCTTTTATTGCAGTATTGTGTGGTATGTTTGAGTCCACTGGGTAGTTCATTGACAACTTTGAAAGAAAAAAATGAATTGAATTTGCCTTTGGAACGATATGCAACTGAACTCATTTTGTAAGTTCTATGACATTACAAAGACACAAAGTTTGATGCAAAACTATTTACAGAAATTAAAACAAAATCTTTCAAAAGTCAAGTACTTACAGATTGTGGATCTCTGATAACAGAGGCCGTCAGACCAGCTGCACTGCTTCCTTTACCTGATGTATAAACCTAAAGAAAAACCACCACAATTGAAACAAACAAATCAATTCATCTTGGAAACCTCCCTGAACCTTCACAATCAACCAGGAAGTTTTGGATGGTTTTTGTAGGAGTGTGGAAGGCAGTGTGTTGGGCATGATCCCCTTGAAAGCTTAGTTTGAGAAATGTCGTATTAACTTATTATTTCCTGCTTTTCCAAGGATTTGCTTTTCACCGACCTGGATATTTTTTGTCTTTCTTCTGGCATAAATGTCTCCGGATCCAACAAAATGAGGCTTAACCCTACTCCTTGAGTGATTTACTAGGAACCTTCCTCACTCTTGCAAAATCCAACACCATATGGTAAACCCATCACCCAAACTGTTGGACTCCGATTATGGTGGTATGCCTGACCCCATGTAAAGCATAATCAGAGCCATAAAATTGGGCCCAGAAATGTTGCAATACTATCCCCTTTAAAAATAATTTTTGACCATGTAATGAAAACTGGCTGAAGATATATTCCTTACCCCAATTGGCGAAACTTTCTCCACAAATTTCAGCAGCTGACTCTTGGCCGTTCCGGGGTCGCCAAGCAACAAGAGATTGATGTCCCCACGGCGCGTCAAACCGTCGGGCATACGCTTACGGGATCCACCAATCAGGAGACAGGCAATGGCCTTCTTTATATCTGTGAAGTGGACCCAAATTTATCACAATCAGGGACAACCTTCTTGCACTACTAAGAAGAAATCTAATCGAGTGAAATCTAATCAAAACGTATTTGAATAATATCAAGGGCATGCTTCAAAGTTTGAAGAAATGCCAATGGCTGCTCTATTTTGGAAAACCTTTGGTGTATCATTCCTGGAAAGCACGCATGCAATGTGGTAAATGCTCACCGATGCTGCCGTAGATAGAGGGCGCTATGCTCTTTGCAATGAGCTCGTAGACGTTGGGATTGGCGGCCAGTTGACGGAATTCCTCTTCTTCCTCCGATAAGAGGGGAACACCAGAGCTACGGCCCGGACCCTCCGTGTCTACCTCAAAGCCCACCACGCGGATGTAAGGGCTACGAATGCCCACGGCCACCTTGTCTGAACGTGACCTCTGTAAATGAAATAATTGGCATCCCATCAGTCACTATGTCAAATTGCACATTGTTTGCAGATTCTGTGCCAAAGTATATCAGTTTTTTTATACCTTAACCAGTTCACGCCGTGATTATTTTGACAAGAACGGAACGAAGCGCAGGATTACTTTTCACTTGACCTTAAGCCAGGCGGGTTGAGCCACCGCCCTCGGGCAGCACAATCATATTACCCCTCCCTCTCTGGCTAGTAATTTCAACAAAGCCAATGCAGTAGTCAAAACTAATCGAGTGACTGTTTTTAAAGGTTAAGAGCTCCCTGTTTACACAAAGCAGCATTAATTGACTGGCTGTGACTGTTTATGTAACTTGCTACAGCTATACTTTGACTGTAGGTGATTGATATTAAAGACAGCAGTGCCTACCAGTTGCCTGCTTTTGTCTGTTGATGGAATTTGACTAGTCACATTGTTTACAGGAAATAATTATGATCTGACTGTTGGTGACTAGCCTGTGTATAGAGGGGAGGCCAGGGAACAGAATTGATATGTGGACTGTGACTGTTTGGACAGGACGAGGGTTTTAATCTTATGCATGTGTGATGTCTCCTAGGAATTGGTTTTCATGTATTTACTTGACTGATGCCATTGTGAAAGGGACATCAGCCAAAGTTTGAATTTGTAAAGTAGGAATTCACGTGCAAGATTGGATTGGAGAAAAAGAGAGAATACATTGCACCAGAAACTCACACAACCATTTCCAACTGTTAAACTTTGGTGGAATTGGATACATGTATTAGATTTTGATACAAAAGACAGGATAATTACACTAACACTGTTTAATACCAAACTAACAATGTGAAAGTTTTGGGAAAAAAATGTTTTCGTCAGTCATTCAGATTGGTGCATTAAATTTGCATGACGAACATTTTGTGTAATGCTCTGTTGCCAATGGCAACCATTCCTTACCTTTGAAACTGGTCCCATCTTTTTGATAGCGTACACGCCCATGATGGTGACACGGTTACCGGGGACAACACGCTCACACAAATATCTGGAGGTTTCATTCCAAACAGACGGAAAAGAAGTCATCATTTAAAGTTCTCATGTTGCCCTGTTATTTAAATACAATCTGAGGTTTTGTAATTTAGCCAAATGGTTTTGCTGGATGTGATGCATTTGTAGGCTTGAGATGCATAATACACCCCGATATATGTGACAAGTCAAAAACAATGGGTGCAGAATCCTGCAGAGTCCTGACAAGTCAATCACACAAGTCTGCCAGTCCCGTGTCAAGTCACAAGCTATTCAAATGAACTGCGACGAAAGCCTTCCTTGCTATTGTTCATCTCTGGCTACTTGTTGGCGTAGCGGTACTTTCCTTCCATTGCTGTGACCCGGGTTCGAATCCCGCCCGGGCCAACATGTGGATTGGGTTTTCAGTCCCTACCTGATTCCATGGGTTTCCCCCAGAATATTCTTCTTGGGTTTTCTTCCCACCTCTAAAACTTGAATTTCTTCTCATTGTCTCCTCTTTACAGGTTTTTTCAGGCTTGCGAGCTACAGTGCCTGGGCACGTAAGAGGAATATTTGGTTTCATTGCCAAATATGCATAAAAAAAAAAAAAAATAAAAAAAATAAGTAACTTGACTTGTGATTTACTTGGAACCAGACCTGCGATAGTATACAAATAATGAATGTTTGTGAGTGCAATGGAAAGAATAATTTCATGAGGTGACAGATGAAATGTTCCATTTCACGAGGCGAAGCCGAGTGGAATGGAACATTTCATCTGTCACCTCATGAAATTATTCTTTCTATTGCACGAACGTAAAATATTCATTATTTGTTTTATATAACACCTGAATAAATCCTCGTCATCTGATTGGTTGACTTTTAATAGCCAATTTATTCAGGTTAAAAATTGTTTACAAGTTTGACAAGTTCAGAGTTATCATATTATGCAAACTGTTCAACAGGTTGAGAACTATAATATTCAATTTATCTCACCTTAAAACTTTAAAAGTTTAGAACTCAAACAGTTCAATAAGTTCAGAACTTTTATTGCCAATTTAAACACCACAGCGCCACCATCGGCAACATGTGCAGTGACAGTGCAATGGTACTTCTAATCACAGTGCAATAGTACTACCATTGCACTGCGCGTTGCGCGCCACGCGCGCGCCGTGCATTGGTACGAATAATTCAAGACATGTGATCAACGATCCACCAATCAGATGACGGGGATTTATTCAGGTGTTGTATAAACTTGACTACAACCATGGAATCCTAATTGTGGATAAAAATACACGTGTACATAACACGTGTTTATGAAAACTACACAATAATAGACATGCTTACCTGTCGCAGTACAACTGGATGTGCCTGGGCAATTCACCATTGGGTACATCCTCGGGACACTCCTGTAACTTCAGGACTTGGTAGTCCACACACTTGCACTTATCTGGGACAATGAAGTATGGATCCAAGGGGCATGAGGGTCGGCCTGCTTGATCCCTGTCAAGGAAACATGAAAAGAAGACTTAGTTGTGGTCATCTTTTATGAAATGCCATGGCTATATAGCTATGGCAGTCGACCGTCCGATTCCCTGACCGGACAATACTCGACATCAGGATCTTTTGGTCTCGGAGCCGGACTATCAACCGAATGGTTCTCAGACTTTACTTCCCTTAAAACCAAAATCCTCCAAAGCCATGGATCACTAAAACAAAAAAAGAAATCTACTGCAATATAAAGAAGGATTTGATTGAAAACATAAAACTAAAGGAACTATCAAAAAATAAAAAATAAACAATCCAAAAATCCCAGATTCGATCCTAGTACCTTCAGCATGGTACATGTAGTTAAACTTTTTAAAGCGCTCTGGTTGGAAGTGCACTAAAACATGTGATATAGATTTGCAAAAAAAAGGGGAAAAAAAACCCATACAACTAATGTAAAATACCTCAGAGAAAAAAAAACAGACTTAAAACCCTTTATTAAGTAACCCTAACTTACCTGAATCCATCAAAATCCACACCCCTGTTTTGGGCTCCAGTCCATATTGAAAAAGATGGTGGTTTTGATGGATTCAGGACAGTAAGCCTAGTGGTACTGCAGGATGGATTCAGGATATCTCCATATTGAGCAGTTGGGGGACTTTGATGGATTCAGGATCTCAACAGTTTAACTCCTTGGCTGTACATTTGGTGTGTACAAGTTAGATGTACTACACTGGTGGATTCTGATGGACTCGCTGGTGGATTCTGATGGATATCAATATTTTTTTTGCATGACAAATTGGTGGATTTTGGCGGATTCAGGACACTTTCTGGTAAAAGTGCTCAAGGGGTTAGGGTTAAGGTACATTGTAACCTTTTGAACTTGAAGGAATTCAGACAATGCATGATAAACATTGAGCCATTTGTTGAAAGAGGCTGTCGGCTTGCTGTATATCTTAACCCTAACCCCCAGGCCCTTGTTGCTTACAACCATCCTCAATCCTCCAAAATCCTCCAAAATTTTTTAACTCCGCCTAAATTTTTCAAAATTGTCAGACAGTCCTGCCTCAAAATGCATTCATCCTCAATCCTCCAAAATCCTCCTCATCCCAAAATTTTGCACTCGTGTTTAAATGAAGGATAACCCAACGCCAAATCCTTCAAAATCATCAGACAGTCCTGCCTCAAAATGCATTCATCCTCAATCCTCCAAAATCCTCTTGTGCTTCAATCACCATTCATCCTCAATCCTCCAAAATCCTCATGTGCTTCAATCACCATTCATCCTCAATCCTCCAGAATCCTCATTTGATTCAATCACCATTCATCCTCAATCCTCTAGAATCCTCCAAAACCGCCAGGAGGATTTTGGAGGAGTGAGGTGGGTTAGGGTTAATGCACTTACGCGTTACACTTGCGTGGCATGGTGTACCCCTCCAGTCCTGGTTTAACAGACAGCTTGGGGATGAAGTTACGACATCCTCGGCACTGAATGGTGATCTTGGTTGCCTTAGCCCTGATGGCCGACGCAGCGATTACAATGCCCGGTATCTTGATCAGTCGAGACACCTGGTCCGACTGCAATGTGGACAACAAATAGTCATAAAATTAACTTTATTTTGACAGGAAGGTGACTTCACTAGTGACGCCACGAGTAAATGCTCAGTCAGTGTTAAAAATATGCAACACTTGTTGACAGATTATTAAAAGGGGTTCATGCTTAGCACAAAAGTGAATGCAATTTTCAATGTAAATGTTTATGATATGTCAAAAGTTGCTCTGCATTTGCGTGAACAATGGTCTTTAAGTACCATTTCTGTCAAATGCCCAGTCACATCAGGCACATTCCTCTATTAAAGAAAGACACTAAAATGTTTCTACTTTCAATCTCAAGCTTTTGTGTCTACATTCAAACCACTTTTGCCCATTCATAGAGTTATATTTTTAAAAAAAGTAAATAGAGAACACACTCGGCATATTACGCGCACCCATGGACGTGCCGACATGGACGCGCTGCCGCCATACTGTAGATGGAACAATGACCGATCAGGATTGGTCATAAGCCCCGCCAATCTTAGCAATGGCTTGGAAACGTCATAAGCTCGGTCAACTGCGCCAGTGCACTCAGTCTTTACGCATAGTTTGGCATTACACCAATACAACTGCGGCATTGCGATGGACTATGGGCTCCGTGCGCCAACAAAGAGGGTGCATTTTTACTTCTTTTGAGAGCCCCGTGACAGGACACACAGCGAGTGCATACTGTACTGGTTTGCGCAAAATACGCACGACTTCTTGAATGTGCCAAAGCTATTAGCCACAGCATCTTCCCGTGAGCATTAGGCGTCGTCGGCGCGCGAATACATTCAAATTTAACTTGTGATGGTATCTCAGCCCTCAATAACTTTGGATCATTTGAAATATGCAGTGGATGGACCGGGAACCAGTCTAGGTCTCCCCCAATTAACTCTCCTTCTCTGGCCGTTGAAGGAGGCCATAGATAGTGCTCTCACTAAAACTGGCCAAGGAGTACAGGTATGACTTGGGTCTCATTACCTTCAGGTTTCTGATGGAGATCGGGTTAGCCTCGGAGTTCAACATAATTTGAATATCCTCGACTTCCTCCTGGACTCCCTCCTCCCCTTCTGGGCGTGGCCTGGTGACCTCGTCCGCCATCTCTTTAGCCGCATCCTCAAACTGAAGATAAAGCAATCGAAAAGAAAGACCAGTCATTTTAGAGATATGCAAATGAAATAACTGGAATCTAAAAACCTACATTTCTATCATCGTTCAAAGCGGTTGGGGGTGTCACCCGCATTAGCGAGTTACTATGGTTACAGGTTTGTATCAAGTAATTCTTATATGTCCTCTGAGGAAACAGAAATACTGTTTGTTCTGGTAATCTTTCACGTTCAAAGAAGATAATGTTAGGAATAGATTCAAACCGATGTCCTTTCCCAATAGCTGTTTATTGTATTTCTCCTATTTAAAAGTAGTACTTGTGTATACATCAACAGAGATTGTCTCTCAACAAATACAAAGTCTTGGAAGTAATCACCACTTTTAATGTCTTCCATATAACCTGTTGTGTTACAAAAACAGGTCAGCCAAATTGACCAATCAAAAGCTTAGTCCACACTTCTGATCGAAATGACGTCACAAGTCTAAAATCCACTCCGATTGGCTGGCGCGGGTGTTGCATAAAATGTGCATTGCTCATATCAGATGTTGGATACGGAGAAGGCTCCGTTGGACAACGAGTGACATTAAGACTATGTGAAGGGATGTTGTTTTTCCAAATCATGAAAAGGCCTTAATTCAGGCCAAGCCTGAAAATTGGCATCCCTGTACTAATGCATTTTTATGCAATCAAATGATGGCGCAAATTTACCAATCGCTCCTAACATTACAATTACATATAGGTGTACTAGAAATACTGTTAGCCTTCAAGTCATTTTCATCCTTCTTCAGAATACATTTAGGGCCAAGGCATAACAAAAAGCAGCCACCAAAAAACCCAAAACTGTAACAAATTGAAACTGGTGCATACTGTGGACATTTCTTTACAACTTACAAATGGCAAAAATTCTGCAGGATTTTTCTTGAGTTTATCAGCCAGATCTTCATCAAAGCTGGCCACATCGTCAAGATTTACATCCAGCCAGAACTGGCCCAGATTGTAGTGTCGCTTTAGCTCATCTCTGAATGAAAAAAAAATCCAAGATTATAATAACAAGGAAAGAATTCCACACCCGGCCACCACTCATATTTATTTTATGACCTGAAAAGTACCAAAAGTTGTAAATCTGATGAACACACCAAGGGCGAACCCCTCTCTTCTTAGCGATAAGTGTTTGCTGCAATGTTGATTCTTTTACGTGCATTTATACAACACACGGGACCCACAGCTTTACGTCCCATCCTAAGGACAAAGCAATAATGGTTCAGTGCCTTGCTCAAGGGCACGTGTCCGGGCGCGGGCTTGAACCCACGCCACTGTCATGACTGTTGCCTCTGAAACACCAGAGAATGAGTCCAGTGTTCTTACCCACAAGGCCATCTCCATAAAGCTAGCTAACTGTTATTTATTTATTTTATTTATTTATTTTAAATCTTTAGACAGTTCAAAAATACAATCTAAAATGTAAGCAGGGGCTGTCATGGAATAAACAAAAGTATAAAAACTGTCATCAAATGATGTGCTCATCCATAGGCCTACCATGCCTACCCCTGATTCATGTGATTAAAATTAAGGTAATAAACTAATATACAACCGTACAGATAAAAATCGATATTGATAACTGACATGACTGAAATGAAAAAACAAAACCCCAAAACTCGAAAATATCGAGAAGACCCCCTCCACACCAAAACAATGGCCACCCACAGAACTGTATAAACAGGACTAACAATCATTATGTAACATGACTAAAGACAATAGGAATTACCATCCAAGTAAAAAGATCCGAAAAAAGGGGCTGATAAAAAGGGCTGGTAACATGGGAAAAGAACTGATAAAACATGGAAAAAGGGATGAAAAAAGGCTGATAAAAATGACAAAACCCTATATGTGTTAATAAAACTTAAAAGAAACAAAAGAAACTTTAAGTTTTAGGTAGCCAAACATTCATTCGAAGACACCAGATGAGATTTAACCCTACCTGTATTTGTACGTGAAGTTTGCATCGTGAAATTTTCGAAGAAAATCTTTAAATCGACGCTGCACAGCCATGCGATTAACTTGCCCATCTTCCTGAATTCCCTCCGATCCAAAATTATCGGAGTAAAAGACCCCTTGATTATCAAAACCAGACATCTTTCTTTTCAAAACAGGAAAATTTCTCCCTCAGCCAACTTTACTTTCAGTCCACTGCTGGTTCGCCGATTTAAATGCCTGTGCCCTTGTCACATAGACCTGTATGTGTGCGCGCGTCGGACAGTGTGTTTCCCGGGAAAATTCTTCACGTGTCGAATTCGGCGCGAAAATAGAAAACAGCGCCCTCTTGAGCCTATTGCGTTCAGAAAATAGTCGGCTCCCGTGTCATACAGGCTGTATCATTCATGTCGTTTAACGTTTGGGCATCCGACCTGATTCTAAAAATAATTTCAAAACAATAAACATCACAGTCGTGATGTCACGCCCCAACTATCGCATCGGTCCCAACTATAGTTGGGACTGTCCCAACTATAGTGCGGCAGTTGGGTCGGCCCAACTATAGTTAGGACTGGAGTTGCGCCGGATGCTTCATGCTTGATAGATCTTGTTGGATTAAATGTTCCGCGGCGCTGGCACCGTGTATTCGTCGTGCATGCATGCCGCAAGGCTGACCGGTCACGTGGTACTGCCTAGTTGGATGAGTTGTCCAGCTGCTGGGTTGATTGTCCAGCAACATTTTGCAAAATTCAAAGATTGCCATGGCCGGCCAACTATAGATTGGCCCCACCCATAGCTAATGTCAAAGGTCCCAAGTGAAGTCGGACAGTATGTAACAGAGCTGTAGGGAATGTTTTATAGTCGTCGTAAATCAATGTAAACTATAGTTGGGACCGCCAAATAAAAATATTGCGGTGGCCCAACTACAGATGGTCCCCACCCATAGATAATTTCATTGGTCCCAAGTAAAGTCAGATGTGTATTAGAGTTGTAGGGAATGTTTTATAATCGTACAACAATGTACACTATAGTTGGGACCGCAAAATAAAAAGATTGGAGTGGCCCAACTATAGATTCGCCCCATCAATAGCTAATTTCAGTGGTCCCCAGTAAAGTCAGACGTGTATCAGAGCTGTAGGGAACGTTTTACAGTTGTACATCAATGTAAACTATAGTTGGGACACCGCAAAATAAAAAGATCGGAGTGGCCCAACTATAGATGGGCCAGCCCAACAGTGGAACTTACAGTTGGGACCGTCCTAACTATAGTTGGGACAGGCCCAACTATAGTTCGGCCAGCCCAACTGTGGAACTACAGTTGGGACAGGCCCAACTATAGTTGGGACAGGCCCAACTATAGTTGGGACCGATGCGATAGTTGGGGCGTGACAGCGACAGTCAGAAGCCGTGTCGAATGGGCTACAGCCTGCGGCTACAGCTTCATTGTTAATGCACTACATGGTGAATAGTCATAGCCAGTATTATTAGCGCACAATCTGAACGTCCTTCCGGGTTCCACCTACCTACCTCATGTCCCAAACACGGTGACCGTTTTAGCCGATTTTCGGCTAACTTTGACAGATCTTTTGTTAAAAAACGACAGAATATTTGACAGAATGGATTTTTTGGCAGATTTCTGGCAGAATTCTGCAAATGGTTGTTTGACAGAAAAACATAGTAAATTTGAAAAAAAAAATGGTACATTTGTTTAAAAAAGCTTAAATCTTTTCAAACAAACATTTGCATAATCAGTGGCACAACTTGGCTGGATCATGGAGGTAGAATGCCAAGGTTCACTCACTGGGGACTTCATCGTGACGCAACAGTTTTGTCAAAAATTTGCGCAATTTCATAACATCTTTATGTGACTATAGATTGTTTATAATTAATTTGAACCTTAATTAAGGCAATACTACAACATCTGCACGCGATTTTAAGTGTTTATAGTGTATTTCGAGTAATTCTTGGGAATTTGGCAGATTGTTATCATTCTGACAGATTTTTGAAGTCCATTTAGCAGAATTTGGCCACGACCTACGTTCACCCTGGTCCCAAATTGCATTTGTACAGCTCGAACTTCGAAGGAAGAAACTAGGATGGTGTGTATCATTGCAACATTTCATGTTATTGTTATGTTAAGCCTATGCTTATGTGTTTGCTAGTGCTACTGACGCTAGATCATTTCCGAATGTTTAAAAAGGCGATAAGTAGGGTCAAGTTACTTGCACTTTGCAGTTGCACGAACAAGGCAATGCCGCGTGTGATGGGCATGTTGGGCATGCCATGGGGGGCGGTGACCCAGTCGTTCCAGTCCAACTCCAAGGGCGGATCCAGATTTTTTTTTGGGGGGGGGGGGTAGCTGGAGTTACCCAGCCCTAAATTTTATCATTGGGTTGTCATTTAGGAACCCAATGATAAAATTTAGGGCTGGGTAACTCCAGCTGGGGGGGGGGGGGGGGGCAAAAAAAATTGGTTCCCTAAATCCTAATTATAAATTAAAAAAGTGGTCCCAAAAATTATGGCGTGGGGTTTTCGGCGCTTAAGTTAATGGCCCCCCAAATTTTTCGGATTCTAATGAGTAATGTTAGATGCTTGTCATGGTGGCGCGATCTGAAGCAATTTCTGACCACTTCAAATCTTTTTGAGGAAAAGATGGTGGGTGTGCACAGTGCATGCCTGCCTTTTTTTTATTGCGACGTCACTTAAAAAAAATAAATTGGCGAGTTTTTTTTGGGGGGGGGGGGGTGCCCCCATATTGTTCTCCTAAATTATTACAATTATAGTTACTACCTATTGATATTGTCTGCACCTGATTTCAAGAAATGTTTACCCCCCAAATTAAAATGACCTTGCTACGTAGTCCGAGTAACTTGGACCCAACTTATCGCCTTTTTAAAAATTTGGACATGGTCTGGCGATAGTAGGGTCCAAGCCCATTCCTCGACCTAGACAACACAGTCACTGACAGTCCCAAAAACCAACATTTTCCAACCAAAAACATCAGATTTCACCTTCAAAACGGCCTCCAAATTACTAGATATGTCACCTGAGGTACAAGTAGACATAGATGATTAAGATGGTTGTACTTAAGTTTACTTACGATCCGGAAAAAAGTGAAATTTTCCGTTCAATTCTGGAGACCCCCTCTGCCTAGGTTGTCGTTGTTGTGCTCACGTTCAAAACTGCATGATAATGGCGTCTGACCTCGACCTCATGCAAATGTGGTGCGGTGCGCTTGCGCATAGTGCACTGCATGCATACACGGCAGATTCCCCTGCGCCGCGCCGACGACTGTTTCCTGATGTAGAGCGCTGTGTAAGTTCGCGGTACGCCTGGGAGTCGCGCTGGCTAGCCAGGCGTACCGCGAACTTACACAGCGCTCTACATCAGGAAACAGTCGTCGGCGCGGCGCAGGGGAATCTGCCGTGTATGCTGCATTATGTGCATTATGCGCAAGCGCGCCGCACCACATTTGCATGAGGTCGAGGTCAGACGCCATTATCATGCAGTTTTGAACGTGAGCACAACGACGACAACCTAGGCAGAGGGGGTCTCCAGAATTGAACGGAAAATTTCACTTTTTTTCCGGATCGTAAGTAAACTTAAGTACAACCATCTTAATCATCTATGTCTACTTGTACCTCAGGTGACATATCTAGTAATTTGGAGGCCGTTTTGAAGGTGAAATCTGATGTTTTTTGTTGGAAAATGTTGGTTTTTGGGACTGTCAGTGACTGTGTTGTCTAGGTCGAGGAATGGGCTTGGACCCTACTATCGCCAGACCATGTCCAAATTTTTAAAAAGGCGATAAGTTGGGTCCAAGTTACTCGGACTACTTGCTACGCCACTGTTGGGGGGCATTTAAATGTGCTTTTCTTGTTTTGTTTGTGATCAAACTGCAGGCGCAAAATTTAAAAGTGTGTGAATTGGGTGAAGGCGTCGCAGACAAATTGAAGAAGCTACGATTCAGAAAGGAAAAGACAAATAGTGCATTGATTTGTAAGTAGTGCGTTTAATAATTTTTATGAGTAAATAGTTCTTGCAAAGTTGGGGATAACTCCCTAACCCTGCTGAATCCAACAGGATCCAACTGTGTCACATATCCGATGGAACCCGTTGGATTGAGCAGTTAACCCCTTGTGTACATTCCTCATGCAAAATGTTGGATTCAGCAGGCAACTGAAAATGAGGCACAGTGGATTGAGCAGGAAAGTCCGGTTGGATTCTATTGGATTTAGCAGGGTAGACCTGAGGAAGTACTAGGGGGTTAGGGTTACACTGGCAACATTTTTCTTTTCCTTTTTTTTACCCCCCTCCCCTTGTTAGAAAAAAACCCCAAAAGCTGAAGTAAATGTCAAGGGCATTTTCAGAACATGCTTCTATTTTATCCCTTTCCCCCCTCAACCTCAAATCTGGATAAAAGGCCAAGTAAAACAGCTTTTCGCCCCGCCCACTTCTTTTTTTCCCAACCGCCCCCTTTTTTTTTTGCAATACTTTTTACCACTATTTTGTAAATTTATAGTACATTGTCTTTTTATAGTTTCGAACAAAAGAGTAGAAAGGGTCACGGCTGATTTGCACACAATTTTGTATCGGCAAAGAGTCAAGAAATCAGAAGCTATCTTGGAAAATCCGCCATCTTGGGGAATCTTGGGGAGGGGGGGGGGAATTCAGTTTGCATGCCTGTTGATTGGGACGGTGCTAGACTGATGCATTCCAATCCTCACTTTCATTTTTCCTAAAATGTGGCTTAAAACATTAGGCCCAAAAAAAAAAGTCTCCGGTTTCTGGTATGCGCGCGCGTCACCGTAGCCATGCGCGTCGGCAAAATGAAAAAGTTTTTTTTTCAATGAAAGATGATGTCTCAAAACCGCCAAACTCACTGGTTTGACTGGAATTCTGCTGCTGCACAATTTTAACGTGTTTTTAGGTGGGGTTATGGTCGAGAATAAGCTTTATGTGGCCTCTCTGGACTCCCAATCCCATATAGGCCTACATGTATTTGTACTAAGTTTAGTCGGGCACCATTTGCAGTCATCAGCCGACATTTGAAGCAAAAAAATCGGGTAAAAAAAACCAAAAAGCCGCGTCGCCGCACCACTTTTGAGGCAAGCTCCATACCAGAAACCGGAGACTTTTTTTTTTGGCCTTAGGGTAGGTTTAATCACAATTTTTAAATTGGAGCAGACTGGTACAAATTTGTAATTAACTTGATGTCATTGCTTTCATTTCTATTCGCACAGTTTCCAAAAACGAAGATTATACCTTGCTTTCAATTTGATATGGTTGACTCGTGAATATAGCCTGTAGAAACTAGATCAGCTGCACATATGTGCTTAAAGGGAATGTACATCATTGGCTTTTGCTGTAACTTTCAGAAAGGAACTATTTGAGGGGTTAGTATAATACAATGTAGATCAAATATTGTAAGTTGTAACACTGACATTTTTGAAGTTTTGTGTTTTCGAAAAGGTTGGAAAAACCAAGAAAAACAAAAAAATTTCAAGTAGTCTGGTTCCCTGACTCCACAAAAGATAAAATGGATCAATTTATAGATGATGGAAAATTGTAAGGCAAGGGAACCAGTCTAGCTGGCCTGCACCCGTTCATGAACATGTAACCAATAGCAAACAAAATTTGGACTGAAAAAATGGTAAATTTGGAGCAGTAGTTGAAAAATAGTTAGGTTTTTCCAACGCTGGTCGGCTGACCACCGTTGGAAATGTATACAAAAATACCATTTTCTTGAAAATAACTTCATACCAGGTGCCATAATTTTACAAGATGCTTGAGACTGTCATTTTCCAACATCCTAGTAAGGTATTTCGTAAAAACTTGGTAGTTTTATTTTTCGATGTTTGCAAATGTTGTATATTCCCTTTAAATAAACAGTCGATGGCATAATAAACAGTAGTTTGTGCACAAACCCCTGGCACATTCATGTGCACATATAAGGCCAAATAAAAAAAAACATCTTTAACGTCCTGCCTTTTTGAAAAAAAAGCAAAGAGGAGGCCTTTTTTTTTCCTTCCAAAATGGCCGCCTGATGCTGCCAGCTATTTTTTATTAAATGGCCGCCACTTGGACTGAGGAATGACATACGTTATACCAGCTTTATATGGGCTAGATGCAACAGACAAAGAGGCCAGAATGATGTCACATTTCAAATGTATCATTTTTTCGTGATTTAAAAAAAAGAAGAAAAAAAAGGAGGGGCCTCCAAAAAGGAAGCGGGCGGGGACGCTAAACATCTTTTTTTGTTTGGCTATATCAGTGTCCGGCATCTTCCAAATTTGATCACAATTAAATGATTTCAACAAATCTGCTATGATTGGACTAGGGCAGATAAAAATGCCATATATATCAATTTTGCAAATTAAATAACTTTTTTTTTACCTTTGATTTTGTTTCAGTTAAAATCAAAGACGAGGTGATAGTCCTGGAGGATGAACTTGAAGTAAGCCTTTAATATTTTTGAATGATTGAAAACAAATTAAAAGTCAGACTGAAAAGAATTATGGCCACATCTAAATGTGTAAACTTCTCCATCTTCCAAAAAAACCCCAGAACAAAGCTTTATTAAATGCTATCTTTTTGAAAGGGGGTAGGGTAGTTTCAGGTTTTTAGTAGTGTTACAAGCTTTTTATTGGTATATTGGTGGCATCTCTGTCGGTTTTAAACGGATGATAAAGACATGGCTGGCTGGTCTTAAACACTTTTGCAGTGTTACATGAAATTTGGACTCCTTTGAACTCCAGTGCCTTTTACCGTTTTATTAGTCGAATGTTCACAATCCTCACGTAGGCATGCGCAATACTACCAGTGAGTCAGTATTTTATAGTCCTAAATTCACAACGCACTCACCACAGCTGCATCTGCGAGTCATCGCACAGTGCGTGCTCTCCATAAAAAGAGTTGTTTATGTCTTACTCTTGAGCTGGACACTCCATTATAGGGGTGTTTCGAAAAACACGAAGTAAACTTGTTGAACAAAATCATTTGAAATTTTTTAATTTGTGACTTGTTTTGGACTGAAAAGGTTTTTTTTTTTACCGAAAAGGTCGGGTGATTAGCAGCATCTGGGCTCCAACCAGTCTTAAACATACTATGTAACACCTCCCAAGCACACATTTATTCCCTTATTTATCTTCAATGTTCCTTAATTCAATTTCCCACAATATTATCAGGACATGTCAGTTGATGAGTTGCAGGCAGAGTTACCCACCAGCCAGCCGCGCTACGTCGTCCTCAGCTATTGTTATAAACACGACGATGGACGAACCTCCTACCCACTCCTCTTCATCTTTTTGTCTCCATCAGGTACTGCATTCGCCTTTATGTTTTTCATTTTTTTGTTGTAATCCAGCACCAATTGTTTTCGTTGTGAATGACGGATCCCTGTAATTCCTGAAAACCAAATCCTCATCAAAAGTTATATTATGTTACAAATCCTCATATAAACCACAGAGAGGAAGAAGATCAGGTTTAACCCTAAAAGGGCCGGGTTATTTTGGCCATCGCTCAGCTGGGGGTGGGGGGGGGGGATTCTGCCCCCCCCCCCCCTCTAAGATCTCGGCCATCGAGTGACGGAAATTTTTGAAACTCGGTACATGCATAGAACAACTCATCATGAACATACCCAAGAAATTTCATGTCTATAGGTCAAAGGGTTTTGGAATTATGGGTAATTAATTTTTGATATGTGCGAATGGTAATCGTGCTCGGTGTACACGACGTATATCGGAAAGTTCGGTTTTCATGGCGCGTAGCGCTGGAAAAATTTTTATGGTCCGAATTTTATGTTTTTAGTATGAAAAGATGCACAATGCTCGAGGCTAAAAAGTCATAACAGCTCGGGTCGCGGAAAAACCAAATTCAAGGCTGTCTCGGAAATGATAACGAGGTGGATTCTGCCCCCCCCCCCCGCCCTTTTAGGGTTAAATGAAAGCAACGTCAGAGTATATAGATTCTACCGAGTGTCCAATGAACAAAGATATTGACTAACTGGCAGATTGCCAACAAAAGGGTTTGAGAATTCAATAGACAGAGTGCCCTTATGGTGTGCAGGAGGTCACAGGTGGAAATTTCTTTGTCTATTTTTTTAATTGATATTTCGACAACATTAACACCGTGAATTTATTTTTTCTCTCTTTCCAGGATGTAAACCAGAGCAGCAGATGATGTACGCTGGAAGCAAACTAAATTTTGTCAAGGCGTCTGGCCTTACAAAGGTACATCATTGTGTGGGACCATATTCATCATAAACACCGCAAAAAAAAAGAAAAGAAAAAAAAAGAAAGTCCACACTCATTGGTGGGGTCACAATTTTGAATCTGATTGTCTTATGATAACGTCATTTATATCTATAGACCTACGGGGAATGTTGTTAGCTACATGTTGATACCCTGTTTGCTACCAAAGACTGTAAATCGTCCGACACTGACAACGGTTTATGAAAAATGATGCGATTTGAAAAGTTGCAAATTTAAAGAGTATGCGTGGAAATTGCTGCATGACAATGTGACACTGCCCAAAACAAACGGCAAGGAATATCAATCGCACCGTGACATACAGACACAAATACACCGTGTATGCACACTGCACATGTGGATCTAGGTTCCCGCAATTCAGGATTTTATGTTGTTCATGCACCATTTTCAATGATTTAAAGTAATAATAGATGGTTTCATTACTTGATAAAAACAAATATTACATTGGTTGTTAATTTTGAAAATGCACATTGTGTTTAAAAAGATATAGTCATGCCTCACAAGTCGTTTAGTCAAGGATACTAATTGTTCCCTGCTGGCGTTGGGCATTCATCCGTGACTCTTGCAAAGTTACAGGAGATTGACAATCTTATAGCATAGCTAAAATTCCCCCAAAACATCAATCAGTATTCTAGGTAGGTCATGTCTCATTGCATTTTGAAGAAGGATAATAAATAAGCCTAAAACAGTGGCTGAACTGAAGTTTCCGTGTAGCAGTTAACGCTGCAGCACCACCACCAACCGTACAGACTTTCTTTTTCCACTTTTCCATCCGTGGCGTTTTCTGAGCTGAAATTGCATTTGTTTGGTTGGAAGCACGTACATTATCAGGCTATCTAGCTGTGCCATACTCACCGGAGTGACAGGGCCCATCATTTCCCAGAAAAAAAAGAGGAACTGGAGCCCAAAATGAACTTTTGAAAAAATTCTCTTACATAAAGAAATTTCTCAACTTTCCTGCACTGTAGGCCTATCATACCCCGGCTCATTTGGGTGCAAAATTATCCAGGCCTTTTAGACACCTGTCTATTTGTAGAGCAGATGGGTGTCTCAAAGGCCCGTGTCTTTTTGCATGTAAACAAGTCAGGGTGCAGTGCACAATCGTTCAGATATTTCTGCATGGAGGACAAATGTTACATGTTTGTATTGGCCTCCAGTTTCTCTTTTTTCCTCTGGAAAACGACATGTCCTCTTCGAATGACAATTCTTGGATAGCCTTATAATGTAGGCACTTCTTACCAAACAAATGTAATTTCAACTCAGAAAATGCCACAGATGGAAAGTGCAAATAGGAAATCTGTACGGTCGCAGTTGACGGCGGTGCTGCGGCGTTAACTAGCCTAGCCTACTACACAGAAACTTCAGTTCGGACACAGTTGTAGGCTTATTTATGATAAGATCCTTTTTCAGATTGCAATGACACATGATCTAATTTCAACTAGCCGTCAATTCATCAGGTTGTCAATCTGCTGTAACTTTGCAAGAGCCAGTTCGTCGTGTAACAAGAAAAAGGACGTAAGCAGCCCAGGCACGCAAAAAGCACTTTTGGAGATAATCGAGCTGAAAGGTTTTGTGCTGCCATTTCTAGATTAAAAATCACATAAGGTTGAAATGTTTACTGATGACATTCGTTAATGATTTAAATAATATGGTGCATTTTTAGGTCAAAATATTACTTAATTTTGAAGTTATTTCAATTTTTATGCTAACGACCTTTTACCGGGAACTTCCCAAGCCTTAAACGTACGCTTAAGTGGCATGTTAAATCCTTGTGTCCTTTTGCCGGGAACAAATTTGGCTTTGCGTACCCACTTGAGTGGGACATTAGGGCGCTTCGAACATTGTTTGTGTAACCCAGAAAAATGGAACAAAGGAATTGGACCTAGGATCTCTAGAAAATCGCGAGGAAAATTAAGTTGGCAAAGAGACAGAGATTCAAGAGCTATCACTGGAACGCATTTATTTCTCCTGAACGACAATTAAAAAAAACAAACTAAACCAAAAATAAAATTATGAGACTCGAAGAACAACCGATATTGTACCTGACACTCGACCAACCTTGATGTTCTCCTAACCAAGCAAATGTAAATGACCTTTTACTTTCCCTACAGATAAAAAAACTGCTATGAACCAAAAAAACTCAGTATAATGATCACAACTGAAACTAAATAAATGAAGCAAAAATAGACTAAACAAATCTAAAATGACACGAACCAATAGACAAAAAAAACAACTCAATCACTTCAAACCATAAACCAACCAAAAACCATAAACCAGATAAAAAATAAAGACACCAACAACTAAAACCTAGAACGAAGATTTAAAATTAAAACCAACAATAAAAACCTAAGATTTAAAACCAACTAAAATTAAAACCAATACAGCATCAAAAGAAGGTCATAAATCGAAAACAACAGCTTAAACAACCGAATCCAGCAGCAGACAAAACTTTCAGGGTAGAAAAGCCATAGATTTTCAAGGGAATCTGCAGAGCAAAACTAAATGATGCTGCCCTGCCTTCTACCAGTCTGCAAAATGAGGCATGGACCACATGGTCTCACAGATAAGGGGGTCTCTGTTCTGGACAGGATGTTTACTCTATCCAGGGGGCGTACACTACTATCCTCCTACAGCACTGCTATTATTTTACTGTGTCATAAACTTCTACTTAATTAACTTAAGAGGGCTACAACACAAACTAAGCGTATGCAAGTCAGGGGGAGGGACTCCTATGTTGAAAACCAAAAGCTAATGCAAGTTAACTATGTGGCCCTGCCACACACTCGCCAACTAAAATACATTGCTATCCTTAGCAATGGCGCAAGGAGAGTGTCAAGACTTATTACTAGAATCCTCGAAAATTGTGTGACCACTATGGGCATAATTCATTAACTATTCACTGCCAGTCTCCAAACCTGCGAGGCGGACGGATGCTTCTCTTTGGTCGTCGGCTGGTCCTCACCTCCAATACACTGTCAGAACTAGCGGAGCTATCAGTGGACACTTCAGACTCATCAGCTGTACTGCTACCATAGGATGACTCTGGTTCTTCATCCTGCAACTGATGTAGGGGTGGGGGTAGATGGAGATGCGGAGGATAATCTTCATCCTGGAACTGTGGAGGGGGTTGAAGTAGATAAACCTGAGGTCCGTCCACATCTTGGGACTGCGGAAGGGGTGGAAGTAGACCCTCATCTGTTTCATCCTCTACCTCGAAAGGACAAATGGCCAGTAGGTTTCGATGTAGATTTCTCGTTTTCGTAGATCCACGTTGCTGAATGGTATACACTGGCAAGTCTCCCAGTTGCCTAAGGACGATGTAAGGTATTTCCTCCCATTTGTCTCTCAGCTTACCTCTGCCTCTTGGTGTTTTGTTGGCGACAAGGACTCGATCTCCTGGCTGAAGTTCTCTCTCGGTTCCACGAATCTTTTTGTCATAGTTCAACTTTTGCTTGTGCTGTGCCTTCGTGGTTGCGAGCTTCACCTTTTCGCTGGCATTCCGGAGGTGTTTCTGCATCTGCTGGACGTACAGGGACTGGGGACGGCTCTCCTCTGACTCTGGCTCCCCTGGAGTTACAAGGTCCACGGGTAGCCTAGGTTCCCTCAAGAACATCAGATAGAATGGACTATAGCCTGTTGTCTCATGTCTCGTACTATTGTAGGCATAAGTCATCGACTGCAAGTGCATCGCCCAGTTAGGCTTCTGGTCAGGTTCAAGGGTTCCCATCATAGACAATAGCGTCCGGTTGAAACGTTCCGTCATCCCGTTGCCTTGGGGGTGGTAGGGAGACGTTTTACTTTTCACAGTACCGAGGAGATTACACAGCTCCTTCACTATAGCTGATTCAAAACATCTCCCCTGATCAGAGTGAATACGTTCAGGGATGCCGTAGTTCTTGATATACTTCTCCCATAAGACTCGTGCCACTGTATTAGCAGTCTCATCTCTCGTCGCGTACGCCTGTGCATACCGGGTGTAGTGGTCTGTCACTACCAGGATGTGTTCGAAACCACCTTTCGACCTCTCCAGTGACAAGAAGTCTATACAGACCAACTCTAATGGTCGGGTTGTCTGGATGCTCTGAAGGGGTGCTTGTCGCCGAGTGTCCAGTAGTTTCCTTAGGGCACATCGCTTGCACTTCCCGACATATGCCTTCGTTTCAGAATATAAGCCGGGCCAGAAGTAACGGTCTCGTACTAGCTGGACTGTCTTCTCGAATCCAAGATGTCCCATCTTGTCATGGAGATGTTTCAGGACCTGGGGTCGCAGTGACTTCGAGGGGATGGGCAGATAGTTGTCTCTATCTTCTGTGATATGGACGTAGAACAGTGCACCGTCTTTCACGTGAAGGTTATCCCATGACCTCAACAATCTGCGGACTGCAGGAGCTTCAGCCTTCATCTGCCTCTTACTTGGCCTAGACTTTCGTGTCAACTTAAGAGTTGTCACACGACTGATGTCCAAGTCCTGCTGTGTCATTGCTACACCTGGTATCTGTTCAAGTACAGTTCCCACTGTTGCATGCTCCCTGGCCTCAGGCCCTTCAGACACGTCACATGACCCAGAGGAAGCGCATTCTTCAGAGTACGTACGCTCCGCCATTGAAGTGCTCGGGTCTCCTTCCTGAGGAACCATCTGCTGAGCTGCTATTGGATGTTGAGTAGTCTCCTTGTCTACCTCATCAACTGCATTCAGGATCTGTTGTACATCATTCCTGGGGATTCTGGACAATGCATCGGCATTTGCATTCAGTTTGCCTGGTCTATACACAATGCTGAGGTTGTACTGGGCGAGGTCACTAATCCAACGATGACTATGGGCATCTAACTTGGCCTTCTTCAACACATACGTGAGCGGATTGTTGTCCGTCATAGCAGTCACCTCGTTACCATACAGATAGTCCTTGAACTTATCTGTCACCGCCCAGTGAAGTGCCTTGAACTCCATCTTGTGTGCTGGATATTTCCTTTCGGCGGCGGACAGAGAGCGGCTAGCATATGCAAGCACTCGCTCCTTGCCTTCTTGTGTCTGCGTCAGAACTGCTCCTAGACCGTCTCTGGAGGCATCAGTCTGCACTGTAAATGGGAGGCTGTAATCAGCGTACGCCAAGATGGGTGCAGAGATCAGCTTAGACATCAGTGTGGTGAAGGCCTCTTGACACTCAGTGGTCCAGACAAAAGTTGGCTCCTTGCCACCTCGTTTTCCCCCAGTTAAGGCGAAGAGAGGAGCTGCTATATTGGCATAGTGTTGGATGAACTTCCGATAATAGCCAGTCATCCCCAAGAAGCTCCTCACACCTCTCCTACACGTGGGTACAGGCCAACTCTTCATGATGGAGACCTTTTCAGGATCCGTGGCAATCCCCTTGGCAGACACTATATGGCCTAAGTATCGAACCTCGGTCCTGAACAGTTGGCACTTAGAGGGTTTCAACTTTAGTCCATGTTCTCTCAGCCGAGCAAAGACCTTGCCTAGACGTTCCATGTGTTCCTCTATGGTGCTGCTGAAAACCACTATATCATCAAGGTATATGAGGAGACTCTCGAAAGTCATGTCACCAAATACAGTGGACATTAACCTTTGGAACGTAGCTGGAGCATTAACAAGGCCAAAGGGCATGCGGGTATACTCATACAACCCCATGGGAGACGTGAATGCTGTCTTCTGCTGATCCTTTGGTGCCATTTTCACCTGGTGGTAGCCGGACGTGAGGTCTAGGCATGAAAAGTACCTTGCCTTCCCAAGGGCATCAAGGGCCTCGTCAATCCTTGGGAGTGGGAATGCATCCCTGGTGGTTCTGGAATTCAGCTTCCGATAATCTCCACACACAGGCGAATCGTTCCATCCTTCTTCTCTACCACAACTATGGGGGACGCAAAAGGGCTCTGGCTATGTCGAACTATTCCCGCCTCCTTAAGCTCTTCGATGTGGCTTCTTACCGCTTGGTACTGGGCTGGGGGAATTCTCCGGTAGGGGAGCCTGAATGGAGTTGGGTCACTCAGTGGTATTTCATGTTCCACTGTGGTAGTCGAACCCACATCTAAGTGCCCCTTGGAGAACACATCTGCATTCTGAGATAGAAGCATGTCGACAGCCTTCTTCTGAGATGGGGTCAAGTCAGCACCCTGCAGATCAACCTCTGGCACTGGACTGGTGTCGACAGCAACTTGTTCCATGATGACTGTCTCTTTCTCATTTTGCACTGCCGCTGGACTGACCAACTTGAAGCAGGAGAGGGTCGCTACCTTTGAGTTTCTCCGGAGAGTCATCCGGTGATCAGACAATTTGCAGAGTTGGACTGACACCCTGGAGCCCTGCACCTGAACCAGTGTGCGGCCTACTGCCAGCTCCTTAGTGAGGCTGTTGTCTAACATGGCAGTGATACTTCTTTTGCGCACAGACTTTGGTAGCCATGCCTGAACAGCAACTTTCTCTCCAGGTGACAAGTCCAGCGCATGTCTGCCTGCATATCTACAAATGCCAATGTCTCCATTCTCCTTAGCAAGGTCTGCCCCATCTTCATTGACAACCTGGAAAGCCTGGAACCACTTGGGGGACAACCGTTGCGTTTTCTCCATGAACTTCGACCCATGAGAGCCCTTCATCCTGTCCCGACTGGCACGTATGACATTGGTGCCAATGAGTACAGGGGTGTCAAGGCGGAACGAAGTTGCCGGAACAACAAAGGCCGGAACCCCTCGGATATGTTGACCCATAACATGTACATCGACCGTTATGACTCCTAGGTGTTGGACAACTTGTCCTCCGGCTCCTAAAATGGACACGTCGGAGGTACGAAGTGGTTGGAGTCTGAGCTCAGGATATCTCTGGATGAATTCATTGGTCACCGTGGTTACTTGCGAACCTGTATCTATTAATGCGAAACAATGAATTCCAGAGAACCCAATCTCTGTTCTGTTGACAGGCCCAGCTTCTGGTATCTCAGCTGTCCTCTCCACACCACTCGTTCGGTCCTCTTTCACATGGCTATTGATGGATGTATATGTATTAGTGTTAAGTGGGCTCTTCCCTGTTAAACCCGCCGACTGCCCTACATCCGCAGGTTTTGTCCGTTTAACATAGGCTGAGTGGTGGGGGCCTGCTGCTGCTGTGGTTGCTCACTGTGGTTAAGCTGGGGGCAATTTCTTGCTAGATGTCGGCGATCTCCACAGTTGAAACATCCAGTATATGGGGGTTTGCCCGATTGGGGCTGACGGGTGGGCTGATGTTGGAAAACAGCACCCTCTAGTCGTGCAAGGCGTTGACCATGTTGGCGTTGCTCCTGGAGAACTCTGTCCAAGGCCTCCATCTGACCACGATGCATCCCCTTCATCTCCTCCAGTTGTTGCGTCATGAGTTGCTGGATTATCGGAGTGTTGGGGTCGTTTGGCCCGAGTGGGACCGGGACGACCTCCTTCACGGGTTGGGCTGGCCCCTTTACGTCTTTACCCAGGGCCTTAACTTGGGGTAAGCTTTGAGCAGCCTCGCTCATTGAGAAGGACGTCTGCTGTCGTCTTAGGTCTGCTGCCTGTCTCTCCTCTTCATCAATAATGTGAAGTTCCCGGCGCACGTCCCGGAAGGCCATAAACCTCGGTTGCATCGGCGCCAACCTCTGCTTGTAGTGTAGGTTCTTCAAACCCACCATGAATTGGGTCGCCAACATCTTGTCTCGGCTCTCTTCCTCGGACTTCTGTCCCCGGCGCCGCCTCGTCTCTTCAACCTCCCTCAAGGTGGATTCCAATGCAATGGCGAACTCCATTGGGGTTTCGTTTCCCCGCTGCACCCTGGCATAGAATTTGGCCACAGGAGACAGGGCACTTTTGTCTTCCCCGTATTCTTCTAGCAGCTCGACGAAGGCTTTCTCCGCGTCTAGACCCTCTGGTGTCCTACTCTCAAGGTTCAGCAGCACATCTCTCGCTTTTCCTCCTGTGTGTCTGACAGCCTCATGAAACTGGAGGATCCCTGGGGCTGTTCCCTTGCATCCAAGGAGGAACCGTATATCCCGGATCCAGTCCTCCAGTCGGGGGCCGTGTCGCTCCTTCCCGCTAAATGTTGGCACGCTCTTGACCTGATGCGTGGTCAACATCCTTGGAGCTCCCTGTCCTCTCTGCTCTGCCGCGGTGTGGAGTGGATCTAGACCAGCAAGACGTAGAGGGGACACTCCTTCTGATGGAGGAACCAAATGTGGGAACTGACGGTGTGCTCCTTCCATGTTCGGTGATTGACCAAGCCCAGGAGTAACTGCGTATGTTGTCTGGGGCGTCAGTTGCGGAGGGGTATCCGATATCAGGTGAGCTGTTCGGTGCTGGTTCGGCGTCTGCGTCATCGCAATCAATATACTCCCAACTCTCGACACTGTATTGGTTTTCCCTAACTATGACCTGTCTCTATGTCCTACCTTAAAAATTCCTGGCTAAGTTATATAAAAAAACAGTGCACTAGTACCCGGATTCTCCACCTAAAAGAAAAAAATGTAACCCAGAAAAATGGAACAAAGGAATTGGACCTACGATCTCTAGAAAATCGCGAGAAAAATTAAGTTGGCAAAGAGACAGAGATTCAAGAGCTATCACTGGAACGCATTTATTTCTCCTGAACGACAATTAAAAAAAAAAAACTAAACCAAAAATAAAATTATGAGACTCGAAGAACAACCGATTTTGTACCTGACACTCGACCAACCTTGATGTTCTCCTAACCAAGCAAATGTAAATGACCTTTTACTTTCCCTACAGATAAAAAAACTGCTATGAACCAAAAAAACTCAGTATAATGATCACAACTGAAACTAAATAAATGAAGCAAAAATAGACTAAACAAATCTAAAATGACACGAACCAATAGACAAAAAAAACAACTCAATCACTTCAAACCATAAACCAACCAAAAACCATAAACCAGATAAAAAATAAAGACACCAACAACTAAAACCTAGAACGAAGATTTAAAATTAAAACCAACAATAAAAACCTAAGATTTAAAACCAACTAAAATTAAAACCAATACAGCATCAAAAGAAGGTCATAAATCGAAAACAACAGCTTAAACAACCGAATCCAGCAGCAGACAAAACTTTCAGGGTAGAAAAGCCATAGATTTTCAAGGGAATCTGCAGAGCAAAACTAAATGATGCTGCCCTGCCTTCTACCAGTCTGCAAAATGAGGCATGGACCACATGGTCTCACAGATAAGGGGGTCTCTGTTCTGGACAGGATGTTTACTCTATCCAGGGGGCGTACACTACTATCCTCCTACAGCACTGCTATTATTTTACTGTGTCATAAACTTCTACTTAATTAACTTAAGAGGGCTACAACACAAACTAAGCGTATGCAAGTCAGGGGGAGGGACTCCTATGTTGAAAACCAAAAGCTAATGCAAGTTAACTATGTGGCCCTGCCACATTTGTTAAATTAGAATAACATCCTTACGACCTTTTGTCGGGCACAACTAATGAAAAACCCTCTTCCGTCCTTTGTTTACTGTTAATTACGTCAGAATGACGTAGCCGATTGAGACAATATGTATATCAAATGAAAGATATTTCTAAGCTCTATCGATTACCCGAAAAATCTCAATTTGACATTTTGACCCATTTATCGCCCTCACGCCCTTCTTCAAGGAACCCGACGAGTTGTTCACCGCACACACTATTTACGCCACCATGTTTGTTGGCGTTATATGCCTCGCTTTGATTTTAAGATGGCGACCCTGCCAAAGGTCTATCATAAACAATACATGCACAATTTTTCTTAACAGGTTTTTGAGATTCGGAATGTAGAAGAGTTGACGGAGGAGTACATTAAGGAAAAGCTTTCATTCTTCCGTTAGTGCAGTCCTCATCATCAAGTCCATATCAGCTTGTCATCTCACAGAAGCAACCCCTGAATACTGAACTGGCTTATTCAGTAACAGAAGATGAACAAGAGGTATACTACAAGTTATCCCGCGAGCGCGAGTGGAACACGGAATAATGTAGTGCGTCTGTTTCGTCCGAGTGGTATGTGAACACAGACGCACTACATTTTCCGTGTTCAACGAGCGCGAGCGTGATAACGAATTTATCTTCAAGCAAACTTGACGCACAGTACAGTTGGATGACGCAGTTTAGCGCATGCAGCTGGAATGTCGCTCGCATTTTGGAATAGCGCACTACGCAGGGTGCGATATGGACCGTGCAATACAGTATAATAGCACACTGTTGTTGCCATGGATCGACCAATCAGAATCGAGGATACAATTTTACTTGAAGATAACAATGCGTATCCCCGTGCAATAAATTGCCACACCTCAAAGATGGCTGTAATGCAAAAGATCTATTGTTTTGCTTTGTAAAATTTCTTCAATATAATTAAGGCACAGATCTACGTGCATGAGTATACTTTAGTTTGTGTGGGTTGGCTCAGGTGCCACATAGTGGGAGAGCTTTTCTCGCAGGGTAGAAATGGACGGAGTTGGGGGACTTTCGATTCCGTCTCCCCGCAGCAACTTTGGTCCCCACAATAACTATTGCTTACCGTGTGTGGTCCCCAAACTACGCAACAAAGATGCATGGGTTTGTTTATGGTGTAAATTGAGGACACACATCGAGGACCACCTCGATGAGAAAACGTGTACAAAATGAATGAGAGCTGTTGCTAAAAATTACAAACAAAGGAATAGGGTAGAGGAACAAAAGAATATGCTCGACTTACACCATCAACAAACGTGGTAGGATTTGACTTCTTTCATTCTTTATTTTTATAGTACCATTACTTAATCAAAAGGGGTGAATACCTATGTTCCCCAATACCTATGATCCCCAGTACCGATGTTCCCCATCCCTATACCCTAAGAATTTTGGGGAACATCGGTATTTGGGAACATCGGGTAGACCCCAATCAAAAGTGGACTTGTGTAGTAGACTATTAGGGACTAGCCTACCAAGGTTGATTGCATCAGTGGTTACCAATATCCGTACACACCACAGTGCACATGTATAGCAGTCAGGAAGGACCAAGAACTTTTGTGATCCTTCAACCCTAACCACCCCAACTCCATCAAAATCCATCACCCCATTTTGGTGGATTTTGGGGGACTTGGTCCAGAAGGCCTAGCGTGACTAAATATTGATGGAGTATGATGGACTTGGGCCTAATTCTGGCCTGAAGCAGTGTTAGGGGGGAATCCGATTGATTTTGCCTAGCTTCCAGTACTGCTATTGTGATAAAAGCCATGTTTAGCAAGTCCATGAATGTCAACCAGTGCGTCAGTGGTGGATTCCATTATGCATGTTATGTCATGTACAGTTTTGTTTTGGACACACAGTGATTGATGGATTTTGATGGACTTGGTCCATTTCCTAGTAAAAGACGCTGGAGAGTTATAGGGTTAACATTACGACACAAGCACGACATACGTCATCCATCTACCAGTAGGCAACCAATTCAGTCCAACTTGCTCTCGGGTCATCAAGGCATGAAAGGGGGTGGGGGTTAATGGTTTTCATTGAGTCCCTTAAAGGGAATGTACATCATTGGCTTTTGCTGTAATTTTCAGAAATGAACTATTTGGGGGGTTAGTATAATAGATCAAATATTGTTACACTGACATGTTTGAAGTTTTGTGTTCGAAAATGCTGGAAAAACCAAGAAAAACAAAAATATTCAAGTAGTCTGGTTCCCTGACTCCACTAAAGATGAAATGGATCAAACATACCAGAAAATTGTAAGGTAAGGGAACCAGTCTAGCTGGCCTGCACCCGTTCGTGAGCATGGAACCAATAGCTAGCAAAACAAAATTTAGACTAAAAAAAAATGGTAAATTTGGTGCAGTAATTGAAAAATAGTTAGGTTTTTCCAATGGTGGTCGGCCGACCAGCGTTGGAAATGTAGACAAATATATACCATTTTCTTGAAAATGGCTTCACACCAGGTGCCATAATTTTACAGGATGCTTAAGCATGTCATTTACCAACATCCTAGTAAGGTATTTCGTAGCAACTAACTTGGTAGTTTTATTTGTCGATGTTTGCAAATGTTGTATTTTCCCTTTAAAAGGCTTTGAATCAGTTTGAACTAGTTATGACCATACCGTCCCTAAAGCTTGACATAAAATGGACGCTACATGCAAAGATACATGCAAATCATACATGTATCTGTTCATTTATGAAAGTGCAAAGATACCTGGGCGACTTCAAGCGATTTTATGTCCAAATGAGGTTCATAATTTGTATTATCAGGTTAATGGTTTATTAATTGTTTGAATGTATCCATTTCATAATATCGTAAAGTTTTTAAAGATGCATTATGTATACGTATTATAAGATTATTTACTCTTAAAAGATTATATGGTGTGCTGTGGCCTCGTGGTTAAGGGCACTGGATTCGTGGTCTGTGGGTAAAGCTGCGGGCTGTGGGTTCGAGTCCTGGCGGGGTCATGGTGCGTGTGCCCTTGAGCAAGGCACTTTGTCACTCATTGCTTCTCTCCACCCAGAAGTAAATGGGTACCTGTGAGGGCAGAGATGGTTATTGTGATTGAATTAGCTTCCTTGCGCCTAACAGGCTGCATCGAGCTGTATACTCCCCAGGGAGCTGAGATGGTATTTGGAATGTTTAATTGGCCCAATGATCAGGGGTAATAATAATACTGTAAGCGCTGTGATTTAGTTTACTAACATGACTAATAAGAGTGTTCTTAAATGCCGATTATTATTATTATTATTATTATTATAAGATTAGGCTATCTGTACTCTATTTGGTTACAGAAAAGTAACCCTGGAAACCAATATGGAAGTTTACATTACAGTGGAACGTCGCTATACTGAACACCGCTATACCGAACATTCAGCTACACCGAACATCGTCCTTGGCTTCCAAATTTTGTGTACAAACCTTGTTAAAAATATTAACGGCAGAGCGACAAGTGGCTATTATTTCCCCCAAGAAATAGAAGGCAAAAGCCACCCATTGCTGTAGGTAGTAAGCTAATTTTTTTTTTTACATAATTCATTCAATAGTCGGCTTTTGTTCAAACTACGGTATACCAGGGCTGGTGTGCAGGGTGAAGTTCATGGCACTATTCATTGAAAAGTGAGTACCGGAGCACCGGTAGCTTAAAATCGCTACACCGATCGCTATTATGAACAATTTCTGTGGATCCTGCGATGTTTGTTATAGTGGCGTTGCACTGTACTTTACGTATTCCTAACATGGCAATAAACCATTCTTAGATTGGAGATGTGCTTTCAGGAGACACATGTTGAAGAGCACAGATTGTACATCTGTAATTGTAACAAAAGACTGAAGAACAGTGCAGTGATTAGACTTTTGTGTGCAAGCATTTGCTTAATGCCGATCAAAATTTGACGTCACGAAACTTTGTCTACGATCCAGAATCATGACACTGCTTACCATATGAAGCGAAGTATCCATGATTGTACAGGGTGTTTCAATAAAAAGGAAACCCAACTTTGAAGAACCAGTATGGACAGACTAAATGTTTACTGGCTATAAAACTGGTATCATCTGAAAGTGTAATCTCTATGCTTTTCAATGATACCTTGTTTACATTTCCAGGGTCCTGCATCACTGAGCACCATTGTCATGAGATTTTGATGCAAAATTGCAGTTAGTTCACTTTCATGTCAAACACAATAGGCATGGTTTGCATGAGAATTGGTATTCAAGAAGAATACACGAGTGCATAAAAAGAAACCAAAACACAAGTCGGGTTGGTTTCAAAACTGATTTTATTGTTACGGTCATGAATTTCTAGTTTTGACCAAGCCACGTTCAAAACAATGTGCCATTTCCCCAAGGATTAGCATTCAAGCCATTTCACAGACATTTCCGTAACAATAGGCACACCGTGTCCAGTGTGTTTTTTTTTTTATGAAAGTGAACCAACTGCATTTTTGCATCCAGTTTTCAAGACAATGATGCTCAGTGATGCATGACTCAGAAAACCTAAACACGGTATCATTGAAAAGCATAGAGATTACGCTTTCAGATGATACCAGTTTTATAGTCAGTAAACATATCGTCTGTCCATACTCATTCTTTGAAGTTGGGTTTCCTTTTTTTTTTAAACACCCTCTATAGCAGAAAATGTTATGCCAATGACAAGCTTGCTCTATTTCTTGGTTGCATGCATGCGTGCATTTGGGAAACCTACTTGCATAATACTGCAGGGGAGTTTAACAGAGCACAGTTGTAAGGTGTTTCACACAAAACCAAATAGTATACAGTGAAATCTCGATAAGTCAAACCTCAAGGGAACAGGTTCAAAATTTGACTTAAGAAGAGTTTTGAGTTAAGTAGGGTTGTATGTCATTGTTATATTACTGAAGGCAATAGATTCTTTGTTTGACTTAACAGTTGTTTTGAGTTATCAGAGTTTGACTTTTAAATCGAGATATCAAGATTTCACTGTATATGGAATAGACGCTTGCACATGTAGCAAGCGTTAACTGCCTCTTGGCCTCCAGATTCTGACCATTCAGCGGGCGCAACTTCCATCGGGTCTTCAGTAACCTGTTGTTGTATTACAAACATATGGCAGCATACTGACCAGTCAACAGCTTTGGCTGAATTTCTGACTGAGTGACATCACAACTTTTAAGGGAGGCTCTGATTAGCTGGTGCGCGGGGTCGCATCCAATTTACATGCACAGATATATCAGACATTCGTAGTGTGGTTCTGCACACGCGAACGTCAGATCCTTAGACAAACAACCAAATGGCAGTAGCTGAAATCGCACATGTAGAAAATGCACTTGTAATGTTTCTCACAAATGTGCCTTCACATTTGGCAGCTTTTCTGTAATTTTTGTGAAAAGATGTTTTCTGGGGGAAAAATATCTTGCCTCTGAAGAATAGGGCTATTATTATACGACAATTTTATCCATTTGATCCTGTCGTTTGAAAGATGGC